CTGACTCGACGTGGCATTTTATAGTACTTAGTGCCTTTGCCATAGTGCGTATATCCTGACTCGATGTGGCTTTATATAGTACTTAGCGTCCCGGACATAGGGCATATATCCTGACTCGACGTGGCATTATATAGTACTTAGTGCCTTTGACATAGGGCATATATCCTGACTCGACGTGGCATTATATAGTACTTAGTGCCTTTGACATAGGACATATATCCTGACTCGACGTGGCATTATAAAGTACTTAGTGCCTTTGACATAGTGCGTATATCCAGACTCGATGTGGCATTATATAGTACTTAGTGCCCTGGACATAGGACATATATCCTGACTCGATGTGGCTTTATATAGTACTTAGTGCCCTGGACATAGGGCATATATCCTGACTCGATGTGGCATTATATAGTACTTAGTGCCTTTGACATAGAGCATATATCCTGACTCGATGTGGCATTATATAGTACTTAGTGCCTTTGACATAGGGCATATATCCTGACTCGATGTGGCATTGTATTACACTTAGTGCCTTTGACATAGGGCATATATCCTGACTCGGCGTGGCATTATATAATACTTAGTGCCCTGGACATAGGACATATATCCTGACTCGACGTTGCATTATATAGTACTTAGTGCCTTTGACATAGGGCATATATCCTGACTCGATGTGGCATTATATAATACTTAGTCCCCTGGACATAGGACATATATCCTGACTCGACGTGGCTTTACATAAACATATTACCATAAAATACAGGCGTACTTCGAAGGCGTAAGCAATTAAACTCACAAATCTCTACAGCACAGGACAGCACAGCACAGCAACCGCAGATATATATATTTTTTGTATTTTTTTGTACCACCACCGTTGCTCTGAAGAAAAATACACTGAATTCTAGTAGGTGAATGCTTGCTTTATCAACTGTACTTAATAATGTTTTCGGGACAACTTCTGACAGGAGAGCCTTATTACCTAGACAATAACACATGGCGCTTGTCACTCCCGTCTTGATAAACAGCTAGAAGGTACATGGTTTCATATACGATTCCAAAAAAAATATATTCCTTTGACATTGTTTCAACATTAACCATTTTATTTATCTTCTAAACGGAATATATTAATTCTACATGCATGTGTCGCCATCATATAGTTACACATAGGAAGAGTTGTACCTGACAGGCTTTGTCGCTGCACAGAAATTCCCTGGCATCCAAAGATTCTTGGTAAATTGATTAATGTTTCGAGTGAATTGCATAGCTTTCGTTCACAACATGAACTGCTTTGTGTGTGCAGCAGTGACATTATCATGGTATTTTAAAGTCTTCATTTACTTACTTACTTAAGTTTGAGATTTAACGTGCGCTTTCCGACTGTGAGCGTATGTCGCACACGGAGTCTTCATTTGGTTTCTTTGTATATATCTATTTTACAATTATTGGATGTAACATGGTGTTTTATATTTTATGGTTTAAAGGTAAAATAAGCATAAAAAATGGTGTATAAGTCATAAAAAAGGTTGTTAAAAATATTGAAGGTTGGTGGCCGGAATCTAACGTTTGTGGTCTTAAGCGAAGGTAAATTATATTGACATATGGTTATGTTTATCTATTATTTCATATGAATTTCATTAATCTGAATGGTTATGACGTCAGAGCTTCTTGATTCAGTGTCCAGGATTAAACTGGTTTATCACCTGACCCTAATTCTTAGCTTCTCATTGGCTAATTTCAAAACTAGGGTAGTCCCCTTTACACCTACCTAACCGCCTCACAATCAAAGCACAGCACATGAGACACCAGCAAGGTGGCAACAGGATTATACAGGTCTGTTAAATACTTAAACACTAAATTATGTTTAAGGTTATTAGTTCTTTTATATGTTCATTAAATATGTTGTTTCTTAAAACTTATGTTATTTAGTAACTTGTTAAATATGATTATGTTGAAAAATGTATTTAAGTATCTGAAGTGTATAATGTTGGTCAACTAAGTCCAAGCTAAAGTTCATTTGGTAGTGAAGGAAGTTGCAATAAATGTTCTGATTAGAGTGAAAGTAATTATTAAACGTAAGGTTTTTTCAGTTGGCTGTGTGCATATATATGAAATAGTTTTGTTTGAATTGTGTGAGTGGAGACCACGAGTGGGGGTAGAATAGGTCTTCAGCAACCCATACCTGCCGTAAAAGGCGACTATACTTGTCGCAAAAGGCGACTAACGGGATCGGGTTGTCAGGCTCGCTGACTTGGTTGATACATGTCATCGTATCCCAATTGCGTGGATCGATGCTCATGATGTCAATCACTGGATTGACTGGTCCAGACTCGATTATTTTACAGACCGCCGTCATATAGCTGGAACATTGCAGAGTGCGGCGTTAAACAACAAACAAACAAACGAACAAATGGTGAATGCATTGTCACTATGTTGTATGATGGTGTTTGTGAATTACGGGCAATCCATGGTCATCGACTTACTTACTTACTTTGGAGGGGGCACGGGTGGCCCAGTCGTCTAAGGCACTGCGATTTGCTGTGCAGAGTTGCGTCCCTTGGGCACGCCAGAAACCTATGATTATGGGTTCGAATCCCGGTTCGCCCCGATTATGTTTCTAGGTTTGTCAGCACCATACCCGTGCTGGTGGGTTTCACCGAAATGGTAAACGTCTGAGGCCTGCATCACTTGGGGCTTTCCTCCCACATTAAGGTGACACGCCGCGATATAACTGGAACATTGTTAAAAGCGACGTTAAACCCAACTCACTCACTGACGTACTTTGGAGATTGTACCTGCGCTTTCCGACTGCAGCGTATCTAGCACATGGGATGGTCATCGAACGTGAGTCACCACGTTTAATTACATGGCTCAATTCCACGAATAGGTAAGGTCTTATCATGTTTAAATATATTTTGTGTACACTTTTTGTGTAACCTTTGAGGGTTACGACATATTTATCTAAATGTACGCCATGTTTCTTGTGGAATGGGGGCGGTCGGGTAGCCTAGTGGTTAAAGCGTTCGCTCGTCACGCCGAAGACCCGGGTTCGATTCGGGACATGGGTACAATGTGTGAAGCCCATTTCGCCGTGATACTGCTGGAATATTGCTAAAAGCGGCGTAAAACCAAACTCACTCACTCACTCTTGTGGAATGATGTCTGTTAGGTATATGGGTAAATATTGTTTTAATTGTATGTAGGCAAAACGTGGTATTTGGCGGGAAATTATCTCCCTTGGCGCGATAGCATGTGTAATGACTAATTGCATCATCCTCATCATCATGACTTTAAAAGTCCAGTTTCCATCCTTGCCGAACTAGGCTGGAATTCCTGTGCTCGATCGCAGCGCCACCTGCGGTTATTACGAGTTATGTCCTTTCTGTGCCTCTCCTACTGACCAATCAGATTCAACCTCTCGTATCACTTGCATTCGCTTCAAACATTTGCTTCAAATCAAGATCTATATGGTGATAAAACGAGTCTTACATCGCGAAGTGCATCAAATCACGTGAGCACCTTGATTAAAAGCATGAAAAGATTTAGAAAATATCTGTTGACAACGAGTTAGCGGTGCGCATGTTTTGCAAATTCTGCAATCGACCGAAATCTGCATGATACTTTACGAACCGGATTTCGATTTCAGTGCGCGATTTTGATTGGACTATGCATGGACTCGTTAGCCCAGCCAAAATGTAACTCCATAATACCAGCCTAGTTCGGCAAGGGTGGAAACTGGACTTTTATAGTCAGTTAACTCACTTGCCTCGGGAAGATGGACTAATTGATAAATTTATGTAACACTTTACATGTGTTGTAAGATGCCATAGTACCAATATATAATTTATATAAGCTACTTGTGATATTTATGTATAATTGATATAATTTATGGCCGTAACTATACTGTTGTAATTGTTTCAGGGCCATTTCTACATTTTTTTTCTACAGGTCCCTCATGGCTTCCACCTATGTGTTCTCTGTCCATCGTGTTGTGACAGTATTATCCCCTTGTTGTCAACACCTACCAATGTTATCCCCCTTATGTATGCAATTGTTGTTACTGTTAATCCTCTACTGTTAATCCTCCACCTACTATATATATCCTGTGCTATGTCCCTCATTCAGTCTTGCTTGACAACGGTATGGGGATGGGGGGGTTGTACTCAACTTTAACACTTTTAGATCCCGATTGGTGTAGGGGACACAATGAATGGAGAGCGGAAGGTCCGGGGTTCGATCCCCGGCCTCGTCATACCGAAAAGACGTTAAAAGATGGTACTTGTTGTTACCCTGTCCGGTGCTCGGCATTAAGGGGCTAAAACAAGGACTGGTCGGCTCGGAGTCAGTATACTGTGTCTGAGTGGGGTATTCATGTTCAACTGCGGCATGGTATCTCAGTGAGCTAGCACTATAAATCGGCATCAGTCCGGACTAGTACATGCAGCCACACAAACACACACACGTACATGCACGTCGCTATATAAGTGCAATAATCTTGGACGCGACGTTAAACCCCATTTCACCTCACCTCCTCTGACGAAATGTGGGTTTCAGTATTAAAAATGGAGACATCAGCCGTGTCATTCTCTTGTTTGAATGACTTCACATGAAAACCGACCTTGACGTCATAAACTATGAAAGACACTACCTTTCATTATTTGCGAAAACACCTAATGTCAACGTCATTAACTTAATGATGCATCAATACAGTCATATTTGTGCCGCGATGTGTAAAATGTTGGTTTACATATTGTATACAAATGTGTCATACTTTCCCGATAGGATAACATCGGAGTTTATGAAATATTTTCCATCGTTTAACGATTTAAAAAAAATAAAATATGATTTAGGTTATATTTTGCTTTGGTCTACCATTTTGGTTTTTATAGAGATATTTTATAAATCTATACACATTTGTTTCAGTACCTTGCTATAACATGGAACTGTTACTGTGAATTGTACGTTAACTGTACATTATCTGTACATACATCTTGCTGTGCTCTGTTCCAGAAGCTACATCTTCCTGTAGCGTTCAGCCTCCTCAGAATGTGCAGGTGAAAGAGACAGACGGACCAGGTAGATTCTTGTTAAGCGTCCCCAATTCAATTTATACTTACTGTACAGAAAACAAAATACACTACCCGAAGTTGATCTAAGTGAGTCTAACCAATGTATTTGAAGAATCCAAGGATTACTACGGAAGCCTTTTAGGGCCATTTGTTTTTTTCTTGAAATTGCAAGATGCTAAGTTGAAATTCCAAGATGCTAAGTTGAAATTCCAATATATTATCTTGAAATTTCAAGTAAAATAGAAAAAAAACAAAATGGCCCTAAAAGGCTTCCCTAGATAACTGTTGACGTATCCTTATGTTATTATGTACGAATAATCAATATGGAATAAATTGAAAAGCATGCATTGCTTCTATAGCAATATGTATTGTCATAAATAGTTAACACGTCCCATTTTAATTCTGGAAACCCAAAAGTCCAGAAACTCTACGCTCTTTCCCCAGTCTCGGTTAAAGGTATTTACAAAATTAAACATTCCGTTTTCATGGGAACATACCAAGGAAGAAAAAATGAAAAAAAAATTGTTTAAAAACTCAATATTTAGATTATGTCGCCCATGGGCCTGCCCATGGGCGAAGTCTGGCCCATGGGTAGGCCCATGGGCAGGCCCATGGGCGAGAATATGTTCCTTTACTTAAAACTCATGTTTTTGTTTCGCAAATACATTTAATGTATTTATTGAAGTGTCATGACACAAAATTTAACTCATTTTAACTTAATTCAACGATTTTATAGCGATATTGAAATATTTCGCCCATGGGCGAGAAAAAGGTTTGGCCCATGGGCGAGAATATGTTCCTTTACTTAAAACTCAGGATTTTGTTTCGCAAATACATTAAATGTATTTATTGAAGTATCATGACACAAAATTTAACTCATTTTAACTTAATTCAACGATTTTATAGCGATATTGAAATATTTCGCCCATGGGCGAGAAAAAGGTTTGGCCCATGGGCGAGAACATGTTCCTTTACTTAAAACTCATGATTTTGTTTCGCAAATACATTAAATGTATTTATTGAAGTATCATGACACAAAATTTAACTCATTTTAACTTAATTCAACTATTTTATAGCGATATTAAAATATTTCGCCCATGGGCGAGAAAAAGGTTTGGCCCATGGGTAGGCCCATGGGTAGGCCCATGGGCAGGCCCATGGGCGAGAATATGTTCCTTTACTTAAAACTCATGATTTTGTTTCGCAAATACATTTAATGTATTTATTGAAGTATCATGACACAAAATTTAACTCATTTTAACTTAATTCAACGATTTTATAGCGATATTGAAATATTTCGCCCATGGGCGAGAAAAAGGTTTGGCCCATGGGCGAGAATATGTTCCTTTACTTAAAACTCATGATTTTGTTTCGCAAATACATTTAATGTATTTATTGAAGTATCATGACACAAAATTTAACTCATTTTAACTTAATTCAACGATTTTATAGCGATATTGAAATATTTCGCCCATGGGCGAGAAAAAGGTTTGCCCCATGGGCGAGAATATGTTCCTTTACTTAAAACTCAGGATTTTGTTTCGCAAATACATTAAATGTATTTATTGAAGTATCATGACACAAAATTTAACTCATTTTAACTTAATTGAACTATTTTATAGCGATATTGAAATATTTCGCCCATGGGCGAGAAAAAGGTTTGGCCCATGGGCAGGCCCATGGGCGAGAACATGTTCCTTTACTCAAAACTCATGTTTTTGTAGCGATCTTTAATGAACCCGGCCTTACCTCTCAAAACGTTTTGACAGTTTATCATACGAATTCATGTGCGTGTACTCCAATTCATTGGAGTTATTTTCCACAACATTAAATTTTAGTTAGTTTATATTTCATTTCCCGTTTTTTATGTCCCGTTGATACATCACACTGGGCAATTACGTGACACTAGGTATGCAATATACAGGTGCGCGTGCGCGTATTTTAATGAAAAAAACTATTCGTCTTTTATTGCATAACGTTTGGCTGAATATCTTACATTCTAACGAAATCTCGAAATAATTATTTAATTACAAGCAGTGTCGAACTGACCAGTAGGAATTATGTTTCAATGCGATTGAGGAAAACGTGAGTGAATATTGTGACACTAAAGCAACTTTTAACTGCATTGTCACTTTTGGTATGAAAATGGAAATAGTTAAGAAAAACGTAACAGCCTTCTTATGATAATTCTCATATTCTCATTAGTACGTTGTGTCTAATTACAGTGTCGGCCTTATTTACAGGTGATTCTACAATACTTGTTGTCAGTCAATTACAATCTGCCACACCACGCGTGAATAAACAGTTATGCAGGTGTTGCTGTGGGCAAATACCTAGCCTGTACATGTATATTTTTGTGGATACATGTATTACATATTTTCGTTGATATGTGGATATATTAAGCACCAAGACACAAAAAGTTTATGAAAGATGAATTTGTGCCTTGATATATATATTCAACGCGAACGATGCTTGTATTTTCTCCGCGATCCTGATGTGTATCATCGTTTAATTGGTCTTTCATTAAAAGTATGTTGTGAGGCGATATCAAAGGAGCCGCTCAATATACACAGTGTCGTCCGTTTCGCGTGAACTACCACCCTACCCTGTCAGTAAGAGTTATGTAATCGGTACACAAATATATTTGGTGCGATGTCAGTGTGGAAGGAGTTTGAATTACGTCCGCCAGTGGCCACAGAAAGTATAGTACCAATCAACAAGGCCAATGCCGTACTAATAACCTAGTGACTCTCGTAACAACGGCTGTCAATATGTCTGCTACATCTACCATACCATCATCCCTGTCACAACTGGCGTATTAACGGTTTATTCAACAAATTATTGTAGAAATGTCGTTACCAGACTAACGTACGTCGTATTCAGTCCTCAACTGGATGTCACATTCCTTAAATCAGTTAACAGCCCTGTTTGTGAAAATATTTACTAGACATAAGATTTAAAGACTAATAAAATCAATTGTAAGACCGCATAGACCATAAAACGGAACAAAATATGTCTTGGTATCATCTCTTGTGTATTAGATGATGGCAATGACCGGAAATGTTATAACGTTAGATTAAGAAGGAGAAACATTAAAGTGTTTTACAATACTTGGAAACATGAGCAATAAGATGTAGCAACATAAACATGCATGGAATAGGGACAAAGGATGAAAACAAATTGAAAAGGATTTTAATACAAAATTAATCGAACTAAATAACTTGCCTGAACAGAAGGGGTACCCAAACTTGTTTGACAGTTATTCGTGTGTTGTAGACTGTCGAATGGGACTCATGTGTGTACGTAGCGTACGCATATCTATTGCAAGTTTTAGTACTCATACACTTTCTCTTTTTGTGTTTTGTTTGTTTGTTAGTTGTATAACGCCACACTTAGCAATATTTCAGCTGTATGACGGCGGTCTGTAAATAATCGGGTCTGGACCAGACAATCCAGTGATTGACATCATGTGCATCGATCCACGCAATTGGGATACGATGACATGCATCAACCAAGTCAGCGAGCCTGACCACCCGATCCCGGTAGTCGCTTCTTACGACAAGCGCTGTCGCCCTTTTACGCCAAGAATGGTTTGTTGAAGATCTTCACGGGTCTATTGAATGCAGGGATTTGTATAAAGTCATCAGACAGCATACAATGCCACCTAAAAATTATACTCAGTGTCTCCGCAAAGTAATATAGTACGGTACTTAGAGTACATGTGAGATTATACTCAGATTAGGGAGATGTTTAATCCATATAACGTGTTATTATTCTACCTAACAATGTATTTAATGAAATGAATGCAAAATAAACTCAACGGCTAAAAGGTTTCATTGAAAAAACTACCCCTAGTCTTGACTAATAAAACAACTGCAACCCGACACAGATTAAACGCAACTTACAAACACAATCATAATCTGGTTAGTCTGTATCACTCAACGAGGCCGCTTACTCTGCCCACAGTATGACAGTATTGGGCAGTTCAGTAATTAGGAGCCAAAACCAGACAGGTACGCTGGTCACACTTGACTGGTCTGACTGATGATTAGGTCGTCTGACAATTGGGAGTGAACCATAGCAAGAAGTATCTGCGAAACTATTTGCTCCTTTTATGGGACCGATTAGTTTTATGACCATGGGCCTCGGCACAAGCGTGGTGTTGGAAGACAAGTTATACATGTACATCCGATATGGTGACTGTTTTTCGCTATTCATATTCTAAATACATTCATAATACCACAACATTTTAGTACTCCTTGAAACTTTACAATCACTTCAATATGTACAATAGATTGAACGAGAACACTTGATATATTGCAGATTATTAAATCATTGTCTCTATTATCAGCCGCTACGTCCGATCGTTTGCATTGTACAAAGAAATATTTTATCTGTCCTTTTGCAGATTTAGCCTCAGAATGTGCTCATTCGAATTAGGAACGAAAATAATTGCTTCTCGTGAGTATATATGATACAGTTAAAAGTTACTTGTACACTGTAGACGTATTCACTTTAAAGTCGCATACGACCTTCGCGAGCGAGTTGAATGATCCAGGTTAATTGGAACGAAGTCTAGAAAGGGTTATAAAGTTTTGTATTTGGTAATGTGTAGGTTTGTTAAATATGATTTTTTAAATTCCTTTTATTTCAATATGTAAAAACATAACTATGCGCTTAAAAACAGAGCTGACTTGATGGGAGATAGCCACCTCAGTTTGTCTGTTGGACACGGTTTAACCTTGCTGTGTCCTCACCCTGGTTGTTGTTACCGTTGTTATAAGGGATTAAGAGCTACGGCTCATTGCATTTTTGGTTACAGTCTGTATCACTAAAGTGGACATGTGCAGGTGAACTCTGTTCAATTAGTATATGAAATGCCCCAAAATGTGAACTCCAGACAATAATAACCTGAGGGTAAATCCACGTGCGTCTGCCTTTCCCCTCGTTCACCTTCGAAATCCTTGATTATTATATCATGCCAGAGTTCTGAAATTCAGTGACAATGTTGCTGAACAGTAGAATGTGATGGACGTTTTGTGCAGAACCTGTTTGACACTATGGGTTCCAGGACCACTAACACTCTGAGCTGAAAAAGTTTGGTCCTAACCGCACCCAACATCTACAAGTTTGTAAGCTTATAGACATCATTAAGAAGTAATTAACAGTCCCATGCTGAGACCTTTCTCAAAATTCAGACCGGTGGCAGGCTGCCAACAAAGAGAAGAAAATAGCGCAACCCCGACACGAGTGTGCTCAGTCAAACAATGAACTTACGACCGGCAGAACACAACTCCAGTTGAGTATGCCGATGCTGTATCTCAGCCGTGTTGGCCTGAAAATTTAAACATGCTAATTAAATCCAAAATCGTATAATCATTTTTAATAGAAACCGTATCTTAATTTGTTCTTGCACTGCATCATATCGTGTATTTCATCTGTATATGTGTAATGTGTATATGTATCAATGACTACACTTATACCGCATATTCTGCAACAGACTATAATTAATCACCTTATTATTGTCTCTCTATTTACCATGGCTGACTGCACTAATACCCTTTTAACAGTGGACACCGATATCAGTATACATGTAGGCTTTTTGTTCAAAAAGGAATATGCAGGAAATTATATGTAACAATTAACTGTGTACTAATTACATGTTTGAATGTTATCAGTTTTACGTTCTGAGATACAGTGATGTAAGCATCTTCTAAAATCTTCTAAAAATATAATAAAATACAAAACTCTCTGCCGTAATTTTTTTGTGGAAATCATTCGATCAAGTAAAAATGACTGCGTGACAAGACGAATCAACTATTTATACCCGATAAAAGAAACTGCCGTATTTTAGGAACAGTGCTACAACAAGACATTTGAAATTTCTAACAAGCAGATACATCAACGAGAATATGTCTGGGGTTATGCCTCGTCTCTTTGCCCAAATTTTTGTCTCATGACCCCTATAGATCAAACCACATTCCTTATGAAGTGCGATAATTTATCCTATTCTGTAGCTGCACTAATTAAATCCATGTATAAACGTAGGTTATATAACAACGTGTCATAAACCCATTCCAGTATTGTATGCCTCTGTATATTTTATATTTGATAAAACATGTCATTGTATGGCAATGCTTGTCATAAATGTACGAGCATTATACTTTTATCTCGTATTTTGTGCACCATTAACAAATAAACCACTGTCCAACATAACTATTTTAGCACTTGCGGTGCTTTTAAGAACATTAGTGTCTAATAGGCCCACGCTGGCCGGGCGATGTATATCTTTTAATATATTTTACCTCTTGTATAAATTGAAGTAATTTTATGTATACACCGCTGGACACTTAAATAAACTATTTTTCTTCTTCTTCTTCTTCTTCTACATTAGAGACAGTGACTAGACTACAGGTACGTAATCCGTATCAATCAAAGGTGTAAAAAAAATGAAAATCATATCTGTAGGAGACCTACCAAATTACCAAGTTTTATCATTACTATATTTATTACAATGCAGATACTTTAGTGATAGATTTTGTAGAGGAGAGGGCATACACACAAGTATATTGCTTCCGTGTGTGAATGCAGGTTGTACTTGGTATCTCAGTTCTCAGTTTCATACCGGTTGTATAACTGAATTTGCATATGGAACCATGCGTACAGCATGACAATTACTTGCTATTCGTCAGTTTACAACACACATAACACGGTCAAACAATTTTAGGCACCGCTTTTGCGAGTTATTTAGTACAATAATATTTATTAAAATCTATTTCAATTTGTTTTCTCCATTTTCCCTATTGACAGTCGTTGTTACGTGCGTCACTAGGTAATTAGTACGGATTGACCTTGTTTATTGTTTCTATACTTTGAGGATTTCTGTGGCAAGTGGCGGACGTAATTCAAACTCCTTCCGCACTGACACCGCATCAAATATATTTGTGTACCGATTACATAACTCTAATGGACAGGGTGGGTTGGTAGTTCACCGGACGACACTGTGTATATTGGGCGGCTCCTTTGATATCTCCTCCAAACATACGTTTATTGAATGACCCCATTAAACGATGATACACATCTCGATGAATATATCAAGGCACTAATTCATCTTTCATAAACATTTTTTTGTCTTTGTGCTTAATATATCCACATATCAACGAACATTTGTAAAACATGTATCCTAAAAAAAATAAACATTTTCAGGCTAGGTATTTGCCCACCGCAACACCTGCAGAACTGTTTATTCACGCGTGGTGTGGTAGATCGTAATTGACCGAGAGCAGGTATTGTAGAATCACCTGTAAATAAGGCCGACACTGTAATTAGATACAACGTACTAATGAGAATTATCATAAGAAGGCTGTTGTTTTTTCTGAACTGTTACCATTTTCATACCAAAAGTGACAATGCAGTTAAAAGTTGCTTTAGTGTCACAATATTCACTCACGTTTTCCTCAATCGCATTAAAACATAATTCCCACTGGTCAGTTCGAAACCGCATGTAATTAAATAATTATTTCGAGATTTCGTTAGAATGTAAGATATTCAGCCAAACGTTATGCAATAAAAGACGAATAGTTTTTTTCATTAAAATACGCGCACGCGTACCTGTATATTGCATACCTAGTGTCACGTAATTGCCCAGTGTGATGTATCAACGGGACATAAAACGGGAAATGAAATATAAACTAACTAAAATTTAATGTTGTGGAAAACAACTCCAATGAATTGGAGTACACGCACATGAATTCGTATGATAAACTGTCAAAACGTTTTGAGAGGTAAGGCCGGGTTCATTAAAGATTGCTACAATATGTAAAACAGGTGAAATTTGTAGAACTAAAGGAAACATCCAACCAAATGCCCTTTTTAAATAGTAATGTAATGATATAATATAAAGTATATTTCACATGATACAATATACTTTGCAAACAGTTAGTTGATGCTTGAAAGGGACTGACGAAAACATGGGCGAAATATTTTAATAACGCCGTAAAATAGTTGAATTAAGTAAAAATTAGTTAAATATTGTGTCATGATACTTGAATAAATACATTTAATGTATTTGCGAAACAAAAACATGAGTTTTAAGTTAAGGAACATGTTCTCGCCCATGGGCCTGCCCATGGGCCAAACCTTTTCTCGCCCATGGGCGAAATATTTCAATATCGCTATAAAATCGTTGAATTAAGTTAAAATGAGTTAAATTTGGTGTCATGGTACTTGAATGAATACATTAAATGTATTTGCGAAACAAAAACATGAGTTTTAAGTAAAGGAACATATTCTCGCCCATGGGCCTACCCATGGGCCTACCCATGGGCCAAACCTTTTTCTCGCCCATGGGCGAAATATTTTAATATCGCTATAAAATAGTTGAATTAAGTTAAAATGAGTTAAATTTTGTGTCATGATACTTCAATGAATACATTAAATGTATTTGCGAAACAAAAACATGAGTTTTAAGTAAAGGAACATGTTCTCGCCCATTGGCCTGCCCATGGGCCAAACCTTTTCTCGCCCATGGGCGAAATATTTCAATATCGCTATAAAATCGTTGAATTAAGTTAAAATGAGTTAAATTTGGTGTCATGGTACTTGAATGAATACATTAAATGTATTTGCGAAACAAAATCATGAGTTTTAAGTAAAGGAACATATTCTCGCCCATGGGCCTGCCCATGGGCCTACCCATGGGCCAAACCTTTTTCTCGCCCATGGGCGAAATATTTCAATATCGCTATAAAATAGTTGAATTAAGTTAAAATGAGTTAAATTTTGTGTCATGATACTTCAATAAATACATTTAATGTATTTGCGAAACAAAATCATGAGTTTTAAGTAAAGGAACATATTCTCGCCCATGGGCCAAACCTTTTTCTCGCCCATGGGGGAAATATTTCAATATCGCTATAAAATAGTTGAATTAAGTTAAAATGAGTTAAATTTTGTGTCATGATACTTCAATGAATACATTAAATGTATTTGCGAAACAAAAACATGAGTTTTAAGTAAAGGAACATATTCTCGCCCATGGGCCTGCCCATGGGCCTGCCCATGGGCCAGACTTCGCCCATGGGCAGGCCCATGGGCGACATAGTCTAAATATTGAGTTTTTAAACAATTTTTTTTTCATTTTTTCTTCCTTGGTATGTTCCCATGAAAACGGAATGTTTAATTTTGTAAATACCTTTAACCGAGACTGGGCAAAGAGCGTAGAGTTTCTGGACTTTTGGGTTTCCAGAATTAAAATGGGACGTGTTAGTTTCAATTGTATCACTATCGGGTAGTTGTGTCTGTTTAGGCATTATGGACAGGGTTTTGATGAACGAAAGGGTTTTGTCGCTTTTATTTAAATATATATAAAATAATACTTGTCAGAATGAAGATTACATATGAGCGATGTATGATTTTCTGCACCCCAGGTCATGTAATATTTAGCATCAACACCCCATCTACAACCAAGTGGGCGTTCACAGTCCGTGAACCTGTCAGCATCAGTACCGAGTTGACGTCATACTTCAGCCTCACCAGTAACACCACCTCCACCACCTTCACCATCAACAAGACGCTGGACCTGGAGGCGGTATACGAGAAATGGGTATATAGTCATGACGTGTCGATTCGTTCCCTCAAACTGTATGGTCTTGGATTGCAATGCGTGTGTTTGGTTCCATATACAGTAAACTACGGTTATAACGAACTCAAGGGGACTACTAATTTTAGTTCGTTATAACCGTAGTTCGTTATAAGCATATACAGCATAACTACAGCAAATTGTCGGGACCAAAAAAGTGAGTTCGTTATATCCGTCAGTTCGTTATAAGCGTGTTCGCTATAACCGTAGTTTACTGTATCACTGTTTGAAATACAACCAACCATGACGCCTCTCTATTGTTCCAACTGTAGACTATCTGCACCGAATTGTTAGTTTAATGACCTATTTTCTGCAATGCAAATTTTAGCTCATGCATTTAATTCTAAGCATTACGATCAAAGCGAATAAAATGCTCCTGCAGTACGGCTTTCGGGCCAGTTCAAATGCATCAAGGATATCGTAGCACGAAGTTAAAGATTCTCATGTATTACGAATCTACTGCACAAATTTCCGTGCGTGAGATTTGCATTTTATTTGTTTTATTTTAACTTTCCGTCTTTGCTTCATATTTGATTTCGCAGTATTTTGTTACTTTGATGCTGTGATTGAAGTCGGATAACGTGGTAGCAAGAAACTGGACATGCATTACAAATAATGTTCGAGCCGGCGAAGATGGCATCATTACAGTAAACTACGTTTATAACGAACACGCTTATAACGAACTGACGGATATAACGAACTTACTGTTTTGTCCGGACTATTTGCTATGGTTATGCTATATGCTAGATATATGGCTACAACGAACTAAAATTAGTGGTCCCTTTGAGTTCGTTATAACTGTAGTTTACTGTATTTGTAACGAATGTCCAGTTACTTGTACGTTATCCTTAACGTTAGTGGGGTCGGTCGGGTAGCCTAGTGGTTGAAGCGTTCGCTAGTCACGCCGAAGACCCGGGTTCGATTCCCGACATGGGTACAATGTGTGAACCCATTTCTGGTGACCCCCGCCGTGATATTGCTGGAATATTGCTAAAAGCGGCGTAAAACCATACTCACTCACTTAACGTTAGTGAATTTAAGCTGTGTTCTTGTACTCATGCTTATATTGCTAACAATTACAATATATTAATGAGAAAACTTTGATAATCTTTAGAAGAACAAACTAATACATCATGTCAGTACATGTTATTACATGTAGAAAGTGACCCGTGAAGATCCGAGGTAGAAAAGGTCTTCAGCAACCCATGCTTGCCGTAAAAGGTGACTATGCTTGTCGTAAAAGGCGACCAACGGGATCGGGTGGTCAGGCTCGCTGACTTGGTTCATGCATGTCATCGATCCAAATTGCGTGGATCGATGCTCATGAAATTAATCACTGGATTGTCTGGTCCAGACTCGATTATTTACAGACTGATGTCATACAGCTGGAATACTGCTGAGTGCGGCGTTAAACAACAACAACAAAAAACATATAGAAACTTTGTCCATTTTTTCAGGGCGAAGAACTCGTGTTTGTCACGTTTTCCTTCCTATGTACGGAAAACGGTACGCCAGTGGGGGTAAGTCTTGTCATAACCTAAATAAGGCTACACTGTAAATAGTCTTTCAACTTCAGTGTCCTCCAATGATATTTGAGAAACTCAAAGAGTGATGTTATGATGTTTCAAGGGTTTGTTGGAGAGGTTTGTCACGGTCACACCAGTCAACGAGTTCTACCCGGAGTTCATCAACGCCCCATTCACCATCAACGTGACAGAGGTATTCTACATTACGTATATAGGTAAACGATATACGGTTAATGAGCCTGCGCTCTTGTCTTCATATTGTGAACTAGTTGTCCCGACAGTAGCACCTTGTTGATAACCTCAGTCGTGTTATATCCACTACATATGTCAACCAGTTCCATATGCCGGACCTGTCTTGTATTTGTCTCCACAGAACACCGCTCTGAACACCATGGTCTTTAAGCTGAAGGACCTGGCCTATGACAGGGACGTCAACCCCAACCAGGAGGAGATATATGGCTTTAATATCAACCCGTACTACAACTCAGATGTAAGTCCTATATCACCCCGTACTACAACCCAGATGTAAGTCCTATATCACCCCTTACTACAACCCAGATGTAAGTCCTATATCACCCCGTACTACAACCCAGATGTAAGTCCTATATCACCCCTTACTACAACCCAGATGTAAGTCCTATATCACCCCGTACTACAACCCAGATGTAAGTCCTATATCACCCCTTACTACAACCCAGATGTTAGTCCTATATCACCCCTTACTACAACCCAGATGTAAGTCCTATATCAACCCTTACTACAACCCAGATGTAAGTCCTATATCACCCCTTACTTCAACCCAGATGTAAGTCCTATATCACCCCTTACTTCAACCCAGATGTAAGTCCTATATCACCCCGTACTACAACCCAGATGTAAGTCCTATATCAACCCTTACTACAACCCAGATGTAAGTCCTATATCACCCCGTACTACAACCCAGATGTAAGTCCTATATCAACCCTTACTACAACCCAGATGTAAGTCCAATATCACCCCTTACTACAACCCAGATGTAAGTCCTATATCAACCCTTACTACAACCCAGATGTAAGTCCTATATCACCCCGTACTACAACCCAGATGTACGTCCTGTTTAAACCTTACTACAACCCAGATGTAAGTCCTATATCACCCCTTACTTCAACCCAGATGTAAGTCCTATATCAACCCTTACTGTAACTCAGATGTAAGTCCTATATCACCCCGTACTACAACCCAGATGTAAGTCCTATATCAACCCTTACTACAACCCAGATGTAAGTCCTATATCACCCCTTACTTCAACCCAGATGTAAGTCCTATATCACCCCTTACTTCAACCCAGATGTAAGTCCTATATCACCCCGTACTACAACCCAGATGTAAGTCCTATATCAACCCTTACTTCAACCCAGATGTAAGTCCTATATCACCCCGTACTACAACCCAGATGTAAGTCCTATATCACCCCTTACTACAACCCAGATGTAAGTCCTATATAACCCCTTACTACAACCCAGATGTAAGTCCTATATCAACCCTTACTACAACCCAGATGTAAGTCCTATATCACCCCTTACTACAACCCAGATGTAAGTCCTATATCACCCCTTACTACAACCCAGATGTAAGTCCTATATCACCCCGTACTACAACCCAGATGTACGTCCTATATCACCCCTTACTACAACCCAGATGTAAGTCCTATATCACCCCGTACTACAACCCAGATGTAAGTCCTATATCACCCCGTACTACAACCCAGATGTAAGTCCTATATCACCCCTTACTATAACCCAGATGTTAGTCCTATATCACCCCTTACTACAACCCAGATGTAAGTCCTATATCACCCCTTACTACAACCCAGATGTAAGTCCTATATCGCCCCTTACTACAACCCAGATGTAAGTCCTGTATCACCTCTTACTACAACCCAGATGTAAGTCCTATATCACCCCTTACTACAACCCAGATGTAAGTCCTATATCACCCCTTACTACAACCCAGATGTTAGTCCTATATCACCCCTTACTACAACCCAGATGTAAGTCCTATATCACCCCGTACTACAACCCAGATGTAAGTCCTATATCACCCCGTACTACAACCCAGATGTAAGTCCTATATCACCCCTTACTACAACCCAGATGTTAGTCCTATATCACCCCTTACTACAACCCAGATGTAAGTCCTATATCACCCCGTACTACAACCCAGATGTAAGTCCTATATCACCCCGTACTACAACCCAGATGTAAGTCCTATATCACCCCTTACTACAACCCAGATGTTAGTCCTATATCACCCCTTACTACAACCCAGATGTAAGTCCTATATCACCCCTTACTACAACCCAGATGTAAGTCCTATATCGCCCCTTACTACAACCCAGATGTAAGTCCTGTATCACCTCTTACTACAACCCAGATGTAAGTCCTATATCACCCCTTACTACAACCCAGATGTAAGTCCTATATCACCCCTTACTACAACCCAGATGTTAGTCCTATATCACCCCTTACTACAACCCAGATGTAAGTCCTATATCACCCCGTACTACAACCCAGATGTAAGTCCTATATCACCCCGTACTACAACCCAGATGTAAGTCCTATATCACCCCTTACTACAACCCAGATGTTAGTCCTATATCACCCCTTACTACAACCCAGATGTAAGTCCTATATCACCCCTTACTACAACCCAGATGTAAGTCCTATATTGCCCCTTACTACAACCCAGATGTAAGTCCTGTATCACCCCTTACTACAACCCAGATGCAAGTCCTATATAACCCCTTACTACAACCCAGATGTAAGTCCTATATCACCCCTTACTACAACCCAGATGTAAGTCCTGTATCACCTCTTACTACAACCCAGATGTAAGTCCTGTGTGAACCTTACTTCAACCCAGATGTAAGTCCTGTATCACCCCTTACAACAAGCTAGATGTAAGTCATGTATCACCTCTTACTACAACCCAGATGTAAGTCCTATATCACCTCTTACTACAACCCAGATGTAAGTCCTATATCACCCCTTACTACAACCCAGACGTAAGTCCTGTATCACCCCTTACTACAACCCAGATGTAAGTCCTATATCATACCTTACTACAACCCAGATGTAAGTCCTGTATCACCCCTTACTACAACCCAGATGTAAGTCCTATATCACCCCTTACTCCAAACCAGATGTAAGTCCTATATCACCCCTTACTACAACCCAGACGTAAGTCCTGTATCACCCCTTACTTCAACTCTGATGTAAGTCCTTCACACCCCTTACTTCAACCCAGATGTAAGTCCTGTATCATCCCTTACTTCAACCCAGATGTAAGTCCTATATCACCCCGTACTTCAACCCAGATGGAAGTCCTATATCACCCCTTATTTCAACTCAGATGTAAATACTATATCACCCCTTACTTCAACTCAGATGTAAGTCCTATATCACCCCTTACTTCAACTCAGATGTAAATACTATATCACCCCTTACTTCAACTCAGATGTAAGTCCTATATCACCCCTTACTTCAACCCAGATGGAAGTCCTATATCACCCCTTACTTCAACTCAGATGTAAATACTATATCACCCCTTACTTCAACTCAGATGGAAGTCCTATATCACCCTTTACTACAACCCAGATGTACGTCCTGTTTAAACCTTACTTAAACCCAGATGTAAGTTTTATATCAACCTTACTACGGGTGGCCCAGTCGTCTAAGGCACCGCGATTCGCTGTGCAGAGAGCCGTCCCTTGGGCTCGCCAGAAACCTATGATTGTGGGTTCGAATCCCGGTTCGCCCCGATTATATTTTAAGGTTTGTTAGTACCATACCCGTGCTCGTGGGCTTCACCGACCTGGTAAACGTTTGAGACCTTAATCACTTCGGGCTTTCCTCCCACATTAAGCAGACACGCCGCGATATAAATCGAATGCTGTTAAAAGCGGCGTTAAACCCAACTCACTCAATCTTTTACATGGCTGTGACGAGAAAATGGCAATAATTTAGACACGTTTATAAACATGTACTCAATCACCTTAAAGAATTCAGTTCCGCCTAAACATCGTTTTACGTTCTAGTCGATGACTATATGAAAATCCAATAAAATACATTTCTTCAACTTATGTGCAAATGTTGAACCCTGTTCTGAAGAGCAATTACGCTACGTGCATTAAAACGATCTAGTAGACAGACGCTTATACGACATAAAAGCGTAAGTGACCCTATATTAGTAAAAATGTAAAATCACTTTATATAGCGGATTGAACCACTTCATATATAAGTCTGAATCAGTTCGAAAACAAGACTGAATCACTTTCCATAGCAGACCGAATCACTTCACAGAGTCTAAATCACTTCACTGAGAGGCTTTAGCCACAATACATAGTGGAGTGAATCACTTCATATACAGGACTGAATCTTTTCACATACAGGACCGAATAACTTCACATAGAAAACTGAATCATTTCACTAGAGCAGGAGATTGAATTGGATTGTGTGATACGCTAATTCCACATGACATAATCACGTAATTTACATGACAGAATCGCTTCATTTACATGACAGAATCACTTCATCTACAGGATTGAATCACTTCATTTACATGCAAGAATCACTTCGTTTACAGGATTGAATCGCTTCATTTGAATCACTTCATTTACATGACAGAATCACTTCCTGTACAGGATTGAATCACCTCATTTTTCAGGATTGAATCACTTCATTTACTTGCCAGAATCACTTCATTTACAGAATTGAATCACATCATTTACAGGATTGAATCGCCTCATTTACAGGATTGAATCGCTTCACTTGAATAACCTCATTTACAGGATTGAATAACTTCATTTACTTGCCAGAATCACTTCATTTACAGAATTGAATCACCTCATTTACAGGATTGAATTACCTCATTTACAGGACTGAATCACCTCATTTACAGGATTGAATCGCTTCACTTGAATCAATTCATTAACAGGACAGAATCACTTAATTTACATGACAGTCACTTTATTTACAGGACTGAATCACTTCATTTACAGGACTGAGTCACGCCATTTGCAGGGCCGAGTCCCACCATTGCTTTACACGCAACAGTATATTGTATGGTGCTTCCATTTCAGTTGGATGGGAGATTCCACTTCTCTTTGACTCAGACTCAGACTGGAGATCTGTCAGTCTCGAGAGAGCTGGACTTTGAGTCGATGAGCACCAAGTACTATCTTCTCAACGTATCTGTGGAGGTGGGCACTTAGATTGTTGTTGAACTCTCAGCACCAGTACTGTTTGTACCTTAACTGTAGTTGGACTCTCTGTACTGTAACGGTGTGTACCTTTAACTGTAGTTGGACTCTCTGTACTGTAACGGTGTGTACCTTTAACTGTAGTTGGACTCTGTACTGTAACGGTGTGTACCTTTAACTGTAGTTGGACTCTGTACTGTAACGGTGTGTACCTTTAACTGTAGTTGGACTCTCTGTACTGTAACGGTGTGTACCTTAAACTGTAGTTAGACTCTGTACTGTAACGGTGTGTACCTTAAACTGTAGTTGGACTCTCTGTACTGTAACGGTGTGTACCTTAAACTGTAGTTGGACTCTCTGTACTGTAACGGTGTGTACCTTAAACTGTAGTTGGACTCTGTAATGTAACTGTTGTACCTTAACTGTAGTTGGACTCTCTGTACTGTAACGGTGTGTACCTTAAACTGTAGTTAGACTCTGTAATTTAACTGTTGTACCTTAACTGTAGTTGGACTCTCTGTACTGTAACGGTGTGTACCTTAAACTGTAGTTAGACTCTGTAATGTAACTGTTGTACCTTAAACTGTAGTTGGACTCTCTGTACTGTAACGGTGTGTACCTTAAACTGTAGTTAGACTCTGTAATTTAACTGTTGTACCTTAAACTGTAGTTGGACTCTGTACTGTAACGGTGTGTACCTTAAACTGTAGTTAGACTCTGTAATGTAACTGTTGTACCTTAAACTGTAGTTGGACTCTCTGTACTGTAACGGTGTGTACCTTAAACTGTAGTTAGACTCTGTAATTTAACTGTTGTACCTTAACTGTAGTTGGACTCTCTGTACTGTAACGGTGTGTACCTTAAACTGTAGTTAGACTCTGTAATGTAACTGTTGTACCTTAACTGTAGTTGGACTCTCTGTACTGTAACGGTGTGTACCTTAAACTGTAGTTAGACTCTGTAATGTAACTGTTGTACCTTAAACTGTAGTTGGACTCTCTGTACTGTAACGGTGTGTACCTTAAACTATAGTTGGACTCTGTAATGTAACGGTGTGTACCTTAAACTGTAGTTGGACTCTCTGTACTGTAACGGTGTGCACCTGAAACTGTAGTTGGACTCTGTAATGTAACGGTGTGTACCTTTAACTGTAGTTGGACTCTCTGTACTGTAACGGTGTGCACCTGAAACTGTAGTTGGACTCTGTAATGTAACGGTGTGTACCTTTAACTGTAGTTGGACTCTCTGTACTGTAACGGTGTGCACCTTAAACTGTAGTTGGACTCTCTGTACTGTAACGGTGTGTACCTTTAACTGTAGTTGGACTCTCTGTACTGTAACGGTGTGTACCTTAAACTGTAGTTAGACTCTGTACTGTAACGGTGTGTACCTTAAACTGTAGTTGGACTCTCTGTACTGTAACGGTGTGTACCTTAAACTGTAGTTGGACTCTGTACTGTAACGGTGTGTACCTTAAACTGTAGTTGGACTCTCTGTACTGTAACGGTGTGTACCTTAAACTGTAGTTAGACTCTGTAATGTAACTGTTGTACCTTAACTGTAGTTGGACTCTGTACTGTAACTGTTGTACCTTAAACTGTAGTTGGACTCTCTGTACTGTAACGGTGTGTACCTTAAACTGTAGTTGGACTCTCTGTACTGTAACGGTGTGTACCTTAAACTGTAGTTGGACTCTCTGTACTGTAACGGTGTGTACCTTAAACTGTAGTTAGACTCTGTAATGTAACTGTTGTACCTTAAACTGTAGTTGGACTCTCTGTACTGTAACGGTGTGTACCTTAAACTGTAGTTAGACTCTGTAATTTAACTGTTGTACCTTAAACTGTAGTTGGACTCTGTACTGTAACGGTGTGTACCTTAAACTGTAGTTAGACTCTGTAATGTAACTGTTGTACCTTAAACTGTAGTTGGACTCTCTGTACTGTAACGGTGTGTACCTTAAACTGTAGTTAGACTCTGTAATTTAACTGTTGTACCTTAACTGTAGTTGGACTCTCTGTACTGTAACGGTGTGTACCTTAAACTGTAGTTAGACTCTGTAATGTAACTGTTGTACCTTAACTGTAGTTGGACTCTCTGTACTGTAACGGTGTGTACCTTAAACTGTAGTTAGACTCTGTAATGTAACTGTTGTACCTTAAACTGTAGTTGGACTCTCTGTACTGTAACGGTGTGTACCTTAAACTATAGTTGGACTCTGTAATGTAACGGTGTGTACCTTAAACTGTAGTTGGACTCTCTGTACTGTAACGGTGTGCACCTGAAACTGTAGTTGGACTCTGTAATGTAACGGTGTGTACCTTTAACTGTAGTTGGACTCTCTGTACTGTAACGGTGTGCACCTGAAACTGTAGTTGGACTCTGTAATGTAACGGTGTGTACCTTTAACTGTAGTTGGACTCTCTGTACTGTAACGGTGTGCACCTTAAACTGTAGTTGGACTCTCTGTACTGTAACGGTGTGTACCTTTAACTGTAGTTGGACTCTCTGTACTGTAACGGTGTGTACCTTAAACTGTAGTTAGACTCTGTACTGTAACGGTGTGTACCTTAAACTGTAGTTGGACTCTCTGTACTGTAACGGTGTGTACCTTAAACTGTAGTTGGACTCTGTACTGTAACGGTGTGTACCTTAAACTGTAGTTGGACTCTCTGTACTGTAACGGTGTGTACCTTAAACTGTAGTTAGACTCTGTAATGTAACTGTTGTACCTTAACTGTAGTTGGACTCTGTACTGTAACTGTTGTACCTTAAACTGTAGTTGGACTCTCTGTACTGTAACGGTGTGTACCTTAAACTGTAGTTGGACTCTCTGTACTGTAACGGTGTGTACCTTAAACTGTAGTTGGACTCTCTGTACTGTAACGGTGTGTACCTTAAACTGTAGTTAGACTCTGTAATGTAACTGTTGTACCTTAACTGTAGTTGGACTCTCTGTACTGTAACGGTGTGTACCTTAAACTGTAGTTAGACTCTGTAATGTAACTGTTGTACCTTAAACTGTAGTTGGACTCTCTGTACTGTAACGGTGTGTACCTTAAACTATAGTTGGACTCTGTAATGTAACGGTGTGTACCTTAAACTGTAGTTGGACTCTCTGTACTGTAACGGTGTGCACCTGAAACTGTAGTTGGACTCTGTAATGTAACGGTGTGTACCTTTAACTGTAGTTGGACTCTCTGTACTGTAACGGTGTGCACCTGAAACTGTAGTTGGACTCTGTAATGTAACGGTGTGTACCTTTAACTGTAGTTGGACTCTCTGTACTGTAACGGTGTGCACCTTAAACTGTAGTTGGACTCTCTGTACTGTAACGGTGTGTACCTTTAACTGTAGTTGGACTCTCTGTACTGTAACGGTGTGTACCTTAAAGTGTAGTTAGACTCTGTAATGTAACTGTTGTACCTTAACTGTAGTTGGACTCTCTGTACTGTAACGGTGTGTACCTCAAACTGTAGCTGGACTCTGTAATGTAACGGTGTGTACCTTAAACTGTAGTTGGACTCTCTGTACTGTAACGGTGTGTACCTTAAACTGTAGCTGGACTCTGTAATGTAACGGTGTGTACCTTAACTGTAGTTGGACTCTCTGTACTGTAACGGTGTGTACCTTAAACTGTAGTTAGACTCTGTAATGTAACTGTTGTACCTTAAACTGTAGTTGGACTCTCTGTACTGTAACGATGTGTACCTTAATCTATAGTTGGACTCTCTGTACTGTAACGGTGTGTACCTTAAATTGTAGTTAGACTCTGTAATGTAACTGTTGTACCTTAACTGTAGTTGGACTCTGTACTGTAACTGTTGTACCTTAAACTGTAGTTGGACTCTCTGTACTGTAACGGTGTGTACCTTAAACTGTAGTTGGACTCTCTGTACTGTAACGGTGTGTACCTTAAACTGTAGTTGGACTCTCTGTACTGTAACGGTGTGCACCTGAAACTGTAGTTGGACTCTGTAATGTAACGGTGTGTACCTTAAACTGTAGTTGGACTCTCTGTAATGTAACGGTGTGTACCTTAAACTGTAGTTGGACTCTCTGTACTGTAACGGTGTGCACCTTAAACTGTAGTTGGACTCTCTGTACTGTAACGGTGTGCACCTTAAACTGTAGATGGACTCTCTGTACTGTAACGGTGGCACCTTAAACTGTAGTTGGACCTTACGTGAGTGTGAATGTACAGCTAATGGTCCTGTATGCCAACTCTTTAAGCCACTTTTAGCAATATTCCAGCAATATCATGGCGGGGGACACCAGAAATGGGCTTCACACATTGTACCCATGTCGGAATCGAACCCGTGTTTTCGGCGTGACGAACGAACGCTTTAACCACTAGGCTACTCGACCGCCCCTGTGTACTGTAACGTTGTGTAACCCTGTTGTCCAGCAGATACGTGTAAGTCGATTTATTAATATATATTATGTGAGGAAATACTGTATTTATCGGTGAACATATTATTGATATCACTTGAATTTAATAACACGTAGCCTTTAAAGTGGGCCAGTCTCAAAATAACGAATACAGAATGTATTTAACACGCGACAGAAACGGTAAAGAAATAAAACATTCCGTTTCGAAAGTAGTTGGTAGACACTCACATACTGATAACAAAAAGAACTACATCGAAGTACAAACGCCTGTAAAGCCGACTCCAGTCCAGTCATTGAGGGCACAATGATATGTGTATGCTTGTTTGTTGTTTAACGCCGCAGTCAGCAAAATGCCAGCTATGTGACGGCAGTCTGTAAATAATCGAGTCTGGACCAGATAATCCAGTGATTGATATGAGCATCGATCCACGCAATTGGGATACGATGACATTCATCAACCAAGTCAGCGAGCCTGACCACCCGATCCCGTTAGTCGCCTCTGACGACAAGCATAGTCACCTTTTACGGCAGGCATGTGTTCCAGCTGAAGACCTATTCTACCCCGGATCTTCACGGGTCCAATGATATGTGCCTTACAACCGTATTTTCAGGCCGGCTGGACCAAGTCATTAGAGGAACACAGTTTATATCTATTTGAGGCAACCAACTTTTAATGATAGGCCAATATGTACATGTTTTTGCATGGTACTTCAGAGCATTATTTCTGGAAATTGCATCAGAGCTGTGTTTTTACACTAAAAGTGACTAAAAGTTTATTTTCAAAACTTCTTTTAATCGGCTGTAATGTCACAAGTATACTTGACGTGTATTTTTGTCATTTTTGCGGGGACTTCTATTTTGAGTTATACTGTTAATCGTTAGGATATCGGAAAACGCACCTCCTATACCGTGATGAGGGTGAACATCGCAGACCAAGATGACCAGGGGCCCGAGTTCTACACGTCGGACTGTGTCCCCGGGCTCTGTCACATTCGCTACACTGCCAGCGTGGGGACCACCTTCACTGTGAGTTATGAATGAATGGTGCCAGCCCAACAGCAACCAAACACATGGTAAAGAAGTATTATCTATGTACAGTAAACTACGGTTATAACGAACTCAAAGGGACTACTAATTTTAGTTCGTTATAACCGTAATTCGTTATAAGCATATATACAGCATAACTACAGCATATAGTCGGGACGAAAAAGTTAGATCGTTATATCCGTTAGTTCGTTATAAGCGTGTTCGTTATAACCGTAGTTTACTGTAATTGAAGTTTCAGAAAGAGCAGAGTTCACCTCGAAAATTGGTTTTGTGGACATCATTAAAGGAAAAAAAGTGTAACCTTGAGAGTGCAACTGTTTTGTGCTGTACATTGGAAATTTGGATTTGACAAAAATACTTTAAACGTTACTAGCCTAGCGCTGAGCCAAAACAATGCAAAAAAAACAACTATGGTGCCCCTATCAAATATATACATCACCATCGAATAACTATTTCCTGTTTGCTTCATTTGTATCCACCATCAAACATGGGTGTATACTTTCTTGTGCCCGGCAGTTTACAATGAACAAATGATGCTATCCGACTGTGACATGTTCCAGGGAGCTATAACTACAGTCTGCCCAGAACGAGTTGCCGCGCGGGACAAGGACACTCTAAATGCATCGATAAGTTACAGCATCGCGTCAAGTGAGTACAAAATCTATTTATTTATCTATTTATCTATTTTATTTATATAATCCACACCCAACGTGCCTAAAGCGCTACATTATTACCTCAGTCAATGTTTGTTTTGTTTGTATGTTGTTTAACGCTGCACTCAGCAATAATCCAGCTATATGACGGCGGTCTGTAAATAATCGAGTCTGGACCAGACAATCCACAATGGGATACGATGACATGCATCAACCAAGTCAGCGAGTCTTACCACCCGATCCCGTTAGTCGCTTCTTACGACAAGCATAGTCGCCTTTTACGGCAAGCATGGGTTGCTGAAGACCTATTGTACCCCGTATCTTCACGGGCCCCACTCAATGGATCAGTGGACACTCCAATTTCATTTTCAGCTCCCTGTGAAATATACAACCCAAGTTGCCTTATGAGGCGCTCGAAGGTTTGTTTGTCACATCTCAACCTATCGGGTACCCTTTTACTGCTGGGTGACCAGGGGCATATTTCGAACAAAGTCACTTGCGACACATGTTACATGTGTATCAATGTGTGCTAGACCGAAGCCCCAGAAACTCTCTTCATTTCGGGCTTTCCTCTCACATTACGCCGACACACTGGAATACTGATGAATATTCATGCTAATGAGATTGCAGACAAAAAGTTGTTTATGTGAATATCAATTTAAGTTCAATTGAGAATATGATAAACAAAATTATACAATAAACGATTACATAATAGGTAACGCACCGGCCTACTTCTCTTACTTCACTATCAACAACATCATGGGGACGGTGTCAGTGATCCAACCCATAGGCAAAGCTCTACTTGTGACACTAACCATTGAAGTAAGTTTGCTGCCAATTCCTTTACTTTTTGTCCTTTGGAGTATACTGCTTAGTTTCCACAAAGTGTATTACCTCAATATAAAACAGACTCTCAAGACCCTCTAATATCCTAAATGCAATAGGCGACCTCATGGGCTCTACAGTTCTATCATCTTCCCGAGGCAAGGGAGTTAACTGACTGTAAAAGTCCAGTTTCCACCCTTGCCGAAGTAGGCTGGAATTCCTGGGCTCGATCGCAGCGTCACCAGTGGCTGTTACGAGTTAAGTCCCTTCTATGCCTCTCCTATGGACCAATCAGATTCCACCTCGCGCATCACTTGCATTTGCTTCAAACAAAATGGCGGCGCCCAGTCAAGACGATCTGATCGACAATCAAGATCTATATTGTGAGAAATCGCGGCCTAGTGCCTAGTGGTTAAAGCGTTCGCTCGTCACGCCGAAGACCCGGGTTCGATTCCCGACATGTGTACAATGTGTGAAGCCCATTTCTGGTGTCCCCCGCCGCGTTATTGCTGGAATAATGCTTAAAGCGGCGTAAAATCAAACTCGCTCGCTCATCAAAATACCGTGCGTTATCTGTGCAGGCTACTGAGGTTACACTGCTGAGGCATACCGAAATGACGAGTCTCACAGTGACGTTTCGGGATCCCACGACTCCTTGCTCGTGTAGGTATACTCTTCATGTTGCGATACGTCTCTGAGCCGTTGTCATGGACGACATCCGTAGGATGATGGCATTGGCACTACATTAACATGAAGACAATACATTTCACTGAATATGTTTCGTGCTGTCGGTGTCAACAGTTTCCAAACATTGTGTAAATAGACGTGAGAGACACTGTTAGATAAAGCACGGCCCCTGGAATCAAATATCAGTTATCGAACAACATTAAATATTCCTTTTTTCAGATGCATTTATTTCCGATTCTGAAATGATTTATGTGACGTTAGTTCATTTAATTATTGCAATAATCTGTCTGTATATGCCATGTTGTATTGTGGGGCTCGTCACGCCGAAGACCCGGGTTCGATTCCCGACACGGGTACAATGTGTGAAGCCCATTTCTGGTGTCCCCCGCCGTGATATTGCTGGAATATTGCTAAAAGCGGCGTAAAAGCATACTCACTCACTCACTCACTCATGTTGTAATGCTGATATATTGGTGTATGTCATGCTGTATTATTGATGCATTGGTTGTGTTATACTTATGTACAACTAATCGTTACCTCGTTTCTTCTCATCCCGTTACGCCATTGCCATTCTTCGTACAGACATCCATTACGTCATCGCCATGCTTCATACAGACATCCATTACGTCATTGCCATTTTTTGTACAGACATCCATTACGTCATTGCCATTCTTCGTACGCTGTTACATAATTCCTTCATATGTTTTCATCCAAATATAAAAACGTTTGTTTGCATATGAATCTTAACACTCGACAAAATCTCCTTCCGTGTAATATTATATTGTTTAAGTTATATAATCCATTCTCTCACACACCCTTACAATGTGTAATAGCTGGGAGTAAACGAAGGTAGTCAGAATCTTAAGCCTTCTTTTGTTTTCTTAAATCAGTATTTTATTTTTTTGTCAATACTGTGTGACTTATGCCTCTCTTTCTTTTCAGGCATGGCGAGATCTGCATGAAAGTGTTCATCGTGTCATATGTAATACACGCCTAACAATAGAATAAGACCTGGGCATCAGCTTTATCAACAAAAGTAGCACAAGTGTTTCAGATGTTTACAAGAGAATTAGCGACTTATAATTGAACTTGAATTTTGTTATTTGCGTGTTCGAACTTGTGACTCACAGGATGCATTTGACTGATATGTTTCATAACTGTTCGACAGACATGTTTGACATGGACACCTCCTGCTATTGACAATACAGAGTACTATTCATCAAACAACTTGACATTTAGTTCACATCGATTTCATACAGAAAACTAATATTGTTTCATATGTGTCTGTATTGACAGAGAAGACCACATGGTGGCGCGTGAATGTTTTCTCCACAAGACTGTTTGTGTGTTGGCTGGCAACTGACGGGATGGTCGATGGTGCAGATCGCTGGTGAATACGACCCACTGTCACATAACAGCAGCAGGAAATCCCCAGGGTATGTCTCCCGGGGATATGTAACCTACGTTCAGGAAAGTCAGCCGCAAAAAAAAAACTTTTTCATTTCAGTATTTCTGAACATCGGATTCTTTCCGGGTCCGTAGGGTAGTCAAGTAGCTTGCGTTCTATCACGCTGAATGGACTGTTGGATTCCCAACTGTGTGAAGGCGACATTGTTGTCATTCCTCCTGTTGGACCATTATTAAAGCGGCGTAAAACTTAATTTACCCCCTCTCTCATTTACCCATCCACCCCCTCTCTGCCTCTCACTCACTCACTCACTTAATACGACGCACGCACACACGCACGCACGCGCATCAACACACACACGTGCAAATCGGTGTTAAAATTAAATGAAAACAGCATTTGTTTGACTTCCCATCATTGGAACAACGTGTCTAGCCTTGTGTCCCTAGACGTGTTTTAGTAACGTTAAACGTCACTCGCCTATCATCTCCGATACGGGTAGGATATTTCCCGGGTCATAATGTGACATATTTACGACTTTTTAAACAAAACAGTACACGTTGTTGCTCTGTTGTATGTGGATTATGTTTCAAATGCCTATTTTCTTATATGCTATTTGGGGGCACGGGTGGCCCAGTCGTCTAGGGCGCGGCGATTCGCTGGGCAGAGTTGCGTACCTTGGTCACGCCAGAAACCTATGATTGTGGGTTCGAATCCCGGTTCGCCCCGATTATGTTTCTAGGTTTGTCAGCACCATACCCATGCTCGTGGGTTTCACCGAAGTGGTAAACGTCTGAGACCTGCATCTCTTCGGGCTTTCCTCCCACATTAAGTGAGTGAGTGAGTTTGGTTTTACGCCGCTTTTAGCAATATTCCAGCAATATCACGGCGGGGGACACCAGAAATAGGCTTCACACATTGTACCCATGTCGGGATTCGAACCCGGGTCTTCGGCGTGACGAGCGAACGCTTTAACCACTAGGCTACCCGACCGCCCCCCTCCCACATTAAGCTGACACGCCGTGCTATAACTGGAATAATGTTAAAAGCGGCGTTAAACCCATCTCACTCACTCACTCACTCATATGTTATTTTGTTTTGCATTTTACGTTTAATGATTCCGCCCCTGAAAGTAATCTATCGATTTACATCGGTCATATAGGATGCAGTGTCCTCACTGGTCAACAATAGGGCTCCGTAATAGGATATTCATGTCTGTGAAATCAATCAATATTGGGTATCGACCAATTTGTTAACTGCCAAGTCCTTTGTAGAGAAAATATATTGCCAAAAGCTGTAAAAGCGATTCTCTGTTCCTGAAAGCTTGTCCAAGTTGAGATGCCTTTCGTTATGGAGGCTGGATACCAGTAGCTCAATCTTTAGTCTGTAAACTATGTAAATATCTAGGCCCAAAGATACGCTGTCACACAGATTATGTCACGATGCAAGTGTTGTTTCTTCGCCAAGCCCTGTAGCTAGGGATACCGGACAGCACTTTGTGGATAGCTGGAGAAGGCGTCCTCAACCATCCATCCCAGCTCGTTCCTACTGTACCCCTACCTGCATCCTGTACACGGAGCGAGGTGAGAAGGCGGGTTTCTCTGTAGACAGACTGTTCTTCCCATTGCAGCCGGACTGTTCGAGATGTGGCGCAGCAGTTTTACCCCAGGAGCCTCATCCCACCCGGCACCTGTAGTCATGGAGTGATACCGGGGTGGAATGGCTGGATTTTCAGAACAATCAGGGTGGTGTAAATTCTCCCTCGCATGTCTGGTTCTGGGATTGTTGAGCCTGGCGTTCGGGGTAGGATACCCCGAGTGGATATTATTCTCTACTGATATAACATTTCAAGCCGGACTGTGGCAACTGTGCACGGAGGGACTGAAGAGATGCAGTGTCTATGCCATTGGAGAACAAAAATGTGAGTTCTTCCTAATAAGTACGATTAGTTTAGGAAATTGCAAAATGAACGGGTTTAACGCCGCTTTTAACAGTATTAGTTATATCGTGGCGTGTCAGCTTAATTAGGTAGGAAAGCCTGGCGTGATGCAGGTCTCAGACGTTTACCACTTCGGTGAAACCCACGAGCACGGGTATGGTGCTGACAAACCTATAAACATAATCGGGGCGAACCGGGATTCGAACCCACAATCATAGGTTTCTGGCGTGCCCAAGGTACCCAACTCTGCACAGCGAATCGCCGCGCCGAAGACGACTTGGCCACCCGTGACCCCCTATAGTAGGTAGATGATAAACAGTAATAACAATGGAATACATGTATAGTTGGGCTGTCCCCATGGAGTTATAAATAATAATAATGGAGTTATGATTCTGAAGCGATCTTTAATATCGGAGTTGAATATCGGAGTGAAACACATTGATTTATAAATTGTTATATACATATACCTATTCCTATATAACAGTATATATGCATTGTTGCACACTGTTGGACCCGTGAAGATCCGGGGTAGAATAGGTCTTTAGCAACCCATACTTGCCGTAAAAGGTGACTATGATTCTCGTAAGAGGCGACTTGCGGGGTCGGGTGGTCAGACTCGCTGACTTGGTTGATGCATGTCATCGTATCCCATTTGCGAGGATCGATGCTAATGATGACATTCAGAAGATTATCTGGTCCAGACTCGATAATTTACAGACCGCCGTCATATAGCTCTAATATTGCTGAGTGCGGCGTTAAGCAACAAACAAACAAACAAACAAACACACTGTTGAAGGATTATTACATATACATTGTATTACACAGAGGAATAGTTATAATCTAATAATATTTATTTTGTTATATACAGCTCCACCGTGTTATTACTCACACACTCAGTCATGTCACATAATATGTACATTGCCATATACAGAGGAACGGTCTTCACGTAACAAAATACATGCATTGCCATAAACAGAGGAACGGTCTTCACGTAACATAATACATACATTGCCATATACAGAGGAACGGTCTTCACATAACAAATACATACATTGCCATATACAGAGGAACGGTCTTCACGTAACATAATACGTACATTGCCATATACAGAGGAACGTTCTTCACGTAACATAATACATACATTGCCACATACAGAGGAACGGTCTTCACGTAACATAATACATACATTGCCATATACAGAGGAACGGTCTTCACGTAACATAATACATTTATTGCCATATACAGAGGAACGGTCTTCACGTAACATAAAACATACATTGCCATATACAGAGGAACGGTCTTCACGTAACATAATACATACATTGCCATATACAGAGGAACGGTCTTCACGTAACATAATACATACATTGTCACATACAGAGGAACGGTCTTCACGTAACATAATACATACATTGCCATATACAGAGGAACGGTCTTCCCGTAACATAATACATTTATTGCCATATACAGAGGAACGGTCTTCCCGTAACAAAATACATACATTGCCATATACAGAGGGGCGGTCTTCACGTAACATAATACATACATTGCCATATACAGAGGAACGGTCTTCACGTAACAAAATACATACATTGCCATATACAGAGGAACGGTCTTCACGTAACATAATACATACATTGCCACAAACAGAGAAACGGTCTTCACGTAACATAATACATACATTGCCATTAACAGAGGAACGGTCTTCACGTAACATAATACATACATTGTCATATACAGAGGAACGGTCTTCACGTAACATAATACATACATTGCCATTAACAGAGGAACGGTCTTCACGTAACATAATACATACATTGCCATATACAGAGGAACGGTCTTCACGTAACATAATACATACATTGCCACATACAGAGGAACGGTCTTCACGTAACATAATACATACATTGCCATATACAGAGGAACGGTCTTCACGTAACATAATACATTTATTGCCATATACAGAGGAACGGTCTTCCCGTAACAAAATACATACATTGCCATATACAGAGGGGCGGTCTTCACGTAACATAATACATACATTGCCATATACAGAGGAACGGTCTTCACGTAACAAAATACATACATTGCCATATACAGAGGAACGGTCTTCACGTAACATAATACATTTATTGCCATATACAGAGGAACGGTCTTCACGTAACATAATACATACATTGCCATATACAGAGGAACGGTCTTCACGTAACATAATACATACATTGTCACATACAGAGGAACGGTCTTCACGTAACATAATACATACATTGCCATATACAGAGGAACGGTCTTCACGTAACATAATACATTTATTGCCATATACAGAGGAACGGTCTTCCCGTAACAAAATACATACATTGCCATATACAGAGGGGCGGTCTTCACGTAACATAATACATACATTGCCATATACAGAGGAACGGTCTTCACGTAACATAATACATACATTGTGACATACAGAGGAACGGTCTTCACGTAACATAATACATACATTGCCATATACAGAGGAACGGTCTTCACGTAACATAATACATACATTGCCACAAACAGAGGAACGGTCTTCACGTAACATAATACATACATTGCCATTAACAGAGGAACGGTCTTCACGTAACATAATACGTACATTGCCATATACAGAGGAACGGTCTTCACGTAACATAATACATACATTGCCATATACAGAGGAACGGTCTTCACGTAACATAATACATACATTGCCATATACAGAGGAACGGTCTTCCCGTAACAAAATACAAACATTGCCATATACAGAGGAACGGTCTTCACGTAACATAATACATACATTGCCATATACAGAGGAACGGTCTTCACGTAACATAATATTAGGAATTATCACCAATGTGTAGACGCAAATCTTCGTCTCGGGCAGAAAACCGTAAGGCTCGGAGAGCTGCTGTCATTTTTAGCGCCGAGTTCAGATTCAGTCATGATATATATACTTTTCAAAATATACTCGGAAATAAATTAAAGTTTTCTTAAATAATAAGAGTTAATAGTTTTGTATGATTATACTGAGCGAATTGGGTACAAGTAATAGCCGGTCATGAAGTATCGTGTAGATGTTAATCCCGCCATCGACTTTGAAGGACGATTGGGGTAAGATGTGAAATTTCAAGGTTGACATGTTTGGATCAGTAGTGAGTTTTACCGACACGATTTGTCAAACGTTCATTCACTCGATGAGACATACTGCGTATGAGTCTCCCATTGAATCCCAGTTCGCCCCGATTATGTTTTTAGGTTTGTCAGCACCATACCCATGCTCGTGTTACACCGAAGTGGCAAACGTCTGAGACCTGCATCACCTCAGGCTTTCCTCCCACATTAAGCCGTCATGCCGTGATATAACTGTAATACTGTTAAAAGCGGCGTTAAACCCAACTCACTCACTCACTCATCCAGACAGGCCCGGACACAACGCCCCATCGAAGACTTAAGCCTCATGATGGAGTCATTGCGTATGTGGTCCCACTCCTCTAAATGCACGTTTCAGCTGCCGTACGCTGTTCGGCAGGTTCCGACGTTGTCTTATTTGGCGTCCATGATGATCCCAGAGATGTCCTATCGGTGAGCGTGACGGTCCTGGCAACACGGGTACGTTATTGGTGTTAAGGAAGTCCTGGGTTATTCGAGCAGCTAGGGGCCTGGTGTTGTCCTGCTAGAACAGTATACCTTGTAGCTGTATTCTGCAGAATGAAATCAATGTAACGCTGTGCGTTGAAAACAAGGCGTGTCTTCCTTTCACCCCATGGAACCTCTTGGATGCATCACCTCGTCGATAGACCTTCATCCGACTACAATGGTGGAACGCATTGAACCTGCTCTCTTCGCTAAACAGTACACTTGACCAATGACGTCTCTGACAGCGTCGCACAGTACGAGACCACTGACGTTTGTTTCGCCGTGCTGACGGGTCAATTCCACTCCACGGTGGGGTCTGTAATTTCTGTAGCAGGAAATCATCCTGACACCGGGTGTGTCGAGAAGCGGACACGCAGATGCAACGCGCGCATACAGCTGTCCTCTCGTGGGGTTGCCACACGTGGTCTACCGCTTCGTGGTCTGTCCCTTGTGTGCCCAGTCTAGTGGTATACATCTAAAATGTATACTTTCTTTTGCTCGGCAGTGAATTTGATGAAACAATCACCCCTATTCCATTCTCATCTGACTATCAGCGCTAGCAGCCGTAGTCATCCCATTCCCTGCCTTTGGCTAAATTAAGAGACTTAATACTCGAGTTTCCTGAAAGAAATATCATTGCATAACTATTTCAGGTATTATATACTCTTCAAAAAAAGAAACTTGACATAGATGTAAAACCACTTTTCTCAAAATATCCATTTAATGAAATGTGATAAGAATAAGTCAAAAAGAAGCATGATCTTTCCATAATTCGCGGAAACAGATCCAAACCACATAAACGTAGCGTTTGGGGATCAATTTTACAGATTCATCCAAACGCAACCTGCTGTAAAAAAACGTGCAGCATAGGATCCTGCATTTATGCATGCATGCACCCCTGCTAAAGGGGTATAAAAAAAACACATCAACAGGCGGTCATTCAGACCCTATAACGACAGTAGACGCAGTGACAGAATGCCAAGACTGAATACAGCTCAACGCCACAACGCCATTGGCAGATTACAAGCTGGAGCAACTCAGCAAGATGTGTCCAGGCACCTTGGCGTATCCCGACAGACAATCTCCGCATTATGGACCCGGTACAACAACACCAACAGAGTTGACGACAGACCAAGGTCAGGGAGATCGATACATCCGGCTGCGACACCTACGAGAACCCACCACCACAGCAATGTCTACCACCACATAGATCCCTGGGCTACGCAGAATTTCAGATCAAACAGTACGCAACAGATTGAGGGAGGCCGGACTTTTTGTACTAAGACCTGTTCGACGTCGTGTATTGACGTCATCTGGCAGACCGTCTGCATTGGTGTCAACAGAGGGTGAGATGGGCACGTTCAAGGTGGAGAAATATACTGTTCCTTGATGAGTCCCGTTTTCTACACACACGTGCTGATGGGCGCACACGTATCTGCAGACGTCGGGGTGAACGTTACGCCCCCAACTGTGTGCAGTAGGTTGTCCCATTTGGCGGCGGGAGTGTCATGGTGTTGGCCGGAATTCATCACGGTGGTAGGACGCCTCTCGTGCATGTGGCAGGTACATTGACAGGCGTGCGTTACAGAGACTTGATCCTACAGCCTTACGTTCTGCCTCACTTCAACGTTCACGGTGGGCAATTCCAGCAAGACAACGCTCGACCGCATATTGCACGTGTTTGTCAGGACTTTCTACAGCGCAACAGCATCCAGCCATTACCTTGGCCAGCGCGGTCACCATATTTGTCCCCAATTGAGCATCTGTGGGACGAGTTGGATCGACGCGTGCGCAGAAGGACTCCACCACTCAAAAACACTTCCGACGCTTCTTGTGGCGCTTCAGCATAAATGGCAGCACATTCCACAGCGTGTTATTCACAACTTGATTGCATCTATGGGTCGTCGGTGTCAAGCGGTAATTGATGCATGTGGTGGTCACAACCGATATTTCCTGTACCCCTGTGACATTAACTATTGTGTACGTGTGTCTGTCTGTGCGACACGATTAATGTTTTGAACATTGTGTACATTGATCCTCAAACGGTGTGTCAATTATGGTTTCTGTTTCCTATTTTCAAACATTGTTTTTATCTTAAATTTTGAAAGACGGTGTCAAGTTTCTTTTTTTGAAGAGTAGTCTAGTTCGACACCTATTGGCTACTTTACGCAAATATAGGTTATGCCCAACGTTGTATTCAAACCAATAATTCAGATGTTTTTTTGCATGGTTGCAGTGTGGTTCGAGGCTGTGCGGGGGATCCAGGTCCTGTCGGGGATCCTTTACCTCATCACCGTGTGCGTGTTTTCCAAACAGGTGTGCTCGTCAACGTATATTGATGGGAAGAGTGTCATCATATTGTCATTTTTGACAGGTAAACATTGTTTTATAACATATTATATTGATAATGTATTCACACGAAAAAAAGAAAAGGGGACAATCTCTCACAGTCAAAACTGAGGGCTTTCCGCCGTAGCACATTGTAATTCAGCTACAGATAACAGGTGTATTCTCTCCATATAACCCCGTAAACATCCGGGTTACAATAGGTCTTCAGCAACCCATGCTTGCCGTAAAAGGCGACTATGCTTGTCGTAAGAGGCGACTAACGGGATCGGGTGGTCAGGCTCGCTGACTTGGTTGATGCATGTCATTATATCTCACTTTGTGTGGATCGATGCTCATATCAATCACTGGATTGTCTGGACTAGACTCGATTATTTATAGACCGCCGTCATATAGCTGTTATATTGCTGAGTACGTCGTTAAACAACAAACAAATCAAATGCCAGTTTCGCCTATAAGCTGGACGGACTTGTATGTTATTGTAATCGTCAACGACCTTCATCTCTTTTGGTTTCCCTCCAACCGCAAGCTGCCACACCAGGGGCCTCTATTCAAAGCAGCCATTAACTAATCTTTCTCACTCACTCTTCTTAGGTTTAGCCATTTTGCCACTTGAACTCGTGAGGATTCCTGGTAAGAATATAGGTCCCATTCAACCAATGCGACTAAACAGATTGAGTGCTTGGTTGATATCGTATCCCAATTGTGGAGATCGATGCTCATTATGTCAATCACTGGATTGTCTGGTCCAAACTCGATTAATTACATGCGTGCGTGCTGTGCTGGGTCTAGTGCTAGTCCGCACTAATGCCGCTTATATAGTGCTAGTCCGCACTAATGCCGCTTATATAGTGCTTGCCCAATGAGATACCATTTCAAGCCAACCAGTCCTTTTTAAATGCTGAACGCCAGACACTACATCCACTACCCCACTGATGTTCTTGTTAATTACAGTTGTTCGTGTGTAAAAACGGCTTTATTAAAACCGACAATTCGCCATATCTGATTTCGGTACATCGTGACCTTTTTGGATGGGAGGCTGATTATGGGCTTCGACCTATCGATACATAAGCCGCGTCTTGTGTGTGTTTGTTGTTTAACGCCGCACTCAGCAATATTCCAGCTATATGACGGCGGTCTGTAAGTAATCGAGTCTGGACCAGACAATCCAGTGATTGACATCATGAGCATCGATCCACGCAATTGGGAAACGATGACATGCATAAACCAAGTCAGCGAGCCTGACCAGTCGCCTTTTACGACAAGCATGGGTTGCTGAAGACCTATTCTACCCCGGATCTTCACGGGCCTTGTGTGTGTACACCAACCATTAACTAAATTGTAAGGCAAAATAAAGAACACACTTGAAATTCGATTTGACTGAATAAAATGTTATAAATCTATTACCAGGCAGAAAGCAGTCACTGAAACTTAGGTCCAAAACACAACCGGGATACCCGCTTCAAATGTACATCTCCATCGAATAACCGTTTCTTGTTGGTTCACTTTTCGCCACCATAAAACAAGGGTGTATACTTTCTTTTGCCCGGCAGTTTACATGAGGTATTACGGTACTCGTGCTCTTCCTGATTAACTAGTAACAGTGTGGCAGTGCCACCAGTGATTATGGTCCAATTCTTGTTTGTTTCATTTTTCGCCACCATAAAACAAGGATGTGTACTTTCTTTTGCCCGGTAGTTTACATGAGGTATTTAGGTACTCGTGCTCTTCCTGATTAACTAGTAAGGGTGTGGCAGTGCAACCAGTGATGGTTCTGAGTCCTTATTGAAGAACTCCATTATCTTCGCAACACAGTATTGGTAAAACACACGTTAAGTGGTCCAGTACGGCAGTGCGTGAAATCCACCTGCAGCATGTGTTGAATAAATAACAGAACTAATTAGGTCATTGCTTACTTCAGAAGGCTTGTACTTCTATGAAGACAAAGACCCGGTACAGGCGCACATCATGCCATTAATGTCTAGACATCCCTGTCTCTGATCAACAGACGGACGGGTGGCATACATAGACATGCAGTTGTATCGATAACAGTATTAAAGAAAGGACACTACAATGAATTGATTCAAAGCTGACAAGGCGTTTCGCAACACAGGCGTACATCGTCAATCATTTGTTGTATAAATGAAACGTTTCATAAATAAAATAGTAATCAACCCGGAATAACATGACTTTATCGATTATCATTGTCACATAAAATGGGAGCTGTCACTCTTTGTTTGTTTTTTTAATTCTTTACAAGAAAATGTCGTCCTGGTTCCATGAAGACCAATAATCGAATGAAGTAACGCAATGCCATACATGGATACGTTTCAAATGTAATACATTCACGTATCCGTTTATAGCTGCAATGTGTTCATATGAATGGTTAATATTCAATGTCAATTTTCATAAATGAATGCACACAGTTCATAGATTTAATTTATCACCTGAAGATCGATGCGCAATGGACACGCACCTCAAGAAGTGTATCTAACTATGAAAGGAAACAGGAACATCAAGATAATTTTCTTACCGTTTGTATTAAATCAGGCGATAATAAATATTTCACATTCAACTGTATAACTGACTTCCGAAAAGCCGACGATCGCTCGTCACTCTGGAGATACCCGATTGCCTACATAGGTGCAGACCCGTGATTCCGGGGTAGAATAGGTCTTCAGCAACCCATGCTTGCCGTAAAAGTGGACTATGCTTGTCGTAAAAGGCGACTAACGGGATCGGGTGGTCAGGCTCGCTGACTTTATGCATGTCATCGATCCCAATTGCGTGGATCGATGCTCATGATATTAATCCCTGGATTGTCTGGTCCAGACTCGATTATTTATAGACCGCCGTCATATAGCTGTAATATTGCTGAGTGTTGCGTTAAACAACAAACCAAACTAACCAACATAGGTGCAATGTGTGAGTCATCCCTTGGGTAGTGTGGTAACTGTGTTTTGGGGAGCCAAGAGACCCAGCAACAGTTACCTAATCGTATTGCCGTTACGTGTCGCCATGGGCAGTTGAAGCTATGAGTCTGCAGCTCGCATTGCTGTCAAGGAGTAAGGGGTCCATCGACCGTTGCTCCTTACTACCTACATAAACATTTATGTACAGTCGCGCATTCATACAAGCATTAACAAGATACTCGCATAAACTTTACTATAAGCTTAAGTGAGTGAGTGAGTATGGTTTTACGCCGCTTTTAGCAATATTCCAGCAATATCACGGCGGGGGACACCAGAAATGGGCTTCACACATTGTACCCATGTCGGGAATCAAACCCAGGTCTTCGGCGTGACGAGCGAACGCTTTAACCACTAGGCTACCCGACCTCCCTATAAGCTTAAGTCCATCTCACAATACACAACTACGTGGACAGTACTAGACAGAACAGGCTCGTCACAGAGGGCAACTGGAAAGACCGAGGTGTGACTCGATCAACTAACTGTAAATCCCGTACCACTCTCCTAATGATGAAGCTACCTTTTTAAAATGTTCGAGTCTGACCAGCTTTTGACACATGTCCGGATAGATCCATATCAGCCCTGATGTCATGTTTGTCTCGTGATCGGATAAATAGCGAGAACTATACCGGGTTCTTTCTTGATTTCCTTCCTGATCTATGTAGTTTGTCTCTCACGATTCAAGTGTCTCCGTTGTTTTATAAAAACACAACGACACCATCAAAGCAATCACGAAAGTAACCCCCATTCTAAATGCTGAATTTGTTATTGTTTTCAAAGGTGTTGGGAATGCATTTTCACCCGATAACAATAGTGATGGACTCATGCTAAAGTCAGCGTTAAAGCTCATACAGAAGTTCTATGCCAAGCTGTACATGTTAACCCTTCCTTCAATAACCAGGAGCTACGGGTGGCCCAGTCGTCTAAGGCGCCGCGATTCGCTGTGCAGAGTTGCGTCCCTTGGGCACGCCAGAAACCTATGATTGTGGGTTCGAATCCCGGTTCGCCCCGATTATGTTTCTAGGTTTGTCAGCACCATACCCGTGATCGATGGTTTCACCGAACTGGTAAACGTCAGAGACCTGCATCACGTTGGGCTTTCCTCCCACATCAATCTGACACGCCGTGATATAACTGGAATAATGTTAAAAGCGGCGTTAAACCCAACTCACTCACTCACTCCTTCAATAACCAACCCTCACGAGTCACTGTAGGTGTACAGTTATGACACCACGTTTTCCAGATTTAAAGATTCACATATTTGTTCAATCCTTTCGAACATTTAGCATTCACTTCGCCAATAAACAATGGACTGACATATATTCTAGGTACGTGTAATCTAGCGTTTCACATGTGTGTTCCTCTTCAGTAGGGCGGTCGGGTAGCCTAGTGGTGAAAGTGTTCGCTCGTCACGCCGATGACCCAGGTTCGATTCCCGACATGGGTACATTGTGTGAAGCCCATTCCTGGTGTCCCCCGCCGTGATATTGCTGGAATATTGCTAAAGCGGCGTAAAACCAAACTCACTCACTCACTCCTCTTCAGTATTATATGGTTGGCATGAATTTAGATAAAGATGTTTCAGTTGATGGTCCACGCGCTTCTGTTTCTCTCCAGGGTCGCTGTCGATAGTCGGGGCAATAGTGTACACCACACAGATCAAGTTAAGCCTCTACACAAAGTTATCCCTAAGTTTCTGGTTCACGCTTCTTGGAGCCGGGGCTGCTCTGTTGGCTGGCTTCTTCCTCCTCATCAACCGCCGGGCCTACCGGGGAAGCATCGTCACCCCCATGCCCGCACAGAACAGGGGGATCGTCAAGCCAGTGAACGGGGGAGTGACGGTAGTCCAACAGTCAACCGCTATAGGAGGACCAATGGCACCGGCATATTCTACCGGATATGACGTCACACACGGAATGCAACCGGGTTATCCCCCTTCGGAAGGCTATGGACAGCGGTTTCAAGGTCAGCCTGGGGCCCCTCCACCGTACAGCGTCTCTAATAACAACGCCTATATCCCGGGTCAGATTGAGGGGGTTGGGGCGTGGCCGACAGGGAACCAGGGTCTCGTTCAGACGCTAGTCCATGTCGCTACTACAAACCCTCCTGTTAAGTAGCACATGTGGAGTGTTAACGTAATGACAAAGGCGTGACCTGCTCAAATTGACATGTTACATTTGAATGCACTATCCCCGGAATGGGTTAAGCTTTCGTGAATATGAAATATGTATAGGTAACCATCGTTTTTGAAAACTAATTAAGGAATCATATTTTTAACAAAATACGTTCAGAAACTTTCCGAAACCATCGGCGGTTGCAATACCTTCACACAACTGCTAAGTAAATAAATTGGATTCCTGTTTTTGGAGTGTTGGATTAGCACATGTGTTCGTTATGACGAAAACGCCGATTGTGTGTAGCCCATTGTTGCTATCCCCTGCTGTGATATGGCTGAAATATTGCTAAAAACAAACAAACCATATCAGGTTTCATCTCAAAATTGATGTCAATTATTTTTTCAAAAAAATGTTAGAAGGAAATATGTTCCGTTAATGGTGTTACGTGTACACTGTGTAATGCAGTTTGATTCATTTACTTGCTTCATGATCCCAACGGCTATAGAACCCTTAAACCTTCACCCACAAATTCTGGATTAATATTTTATATGAGCTAACTCTTTTATGTTCAATGAAACAACCCAAGGAGCATGTTTCCATGGCAATTTATTTAAAATGTCCCACTCCTGATCAAGTAAAGAAATTGTGTTCATCCTTCCTTGTGCTCGGCAGCCCTGGGGACGGGTTTTTTCCTCTCCATGGACCTACAAAATTCGTATCGTCACCCCCCTTACCCCACAGAACCCGGGGTTAAGTAATAAGTCATTGCACGAGGGAATAACGGTGCTCCATCGGTATGCCCCAGGCAGGGTTGAGGTCAATGAGACACGTTAGTTTGTTGTTAATTGTCCGTAAGTCAAGCAATAGAAACAAGGCTCTGGTACATTGTTACTGCTGGTTATTTAATGTTGTTGTGTCGTGATGTTGTTCAAATCAGACTTATGCAGAGTTCAAGTTGCTGTTGTGTTGAGTGTATAAACTAGCTTTAGTTAAGTGTTGTTTTTTGTATCCGCTACATTAAAATACTAACTTAATTTCGAATACGCACATGCTATTTATATGTTTTTCGATCGGGGCGCTGGGGTAGCTTAGTGGTTAAAGCGTTCGCTCGTCACGCCGAAGATCCGGGTTCGATTCCCGACATGGGTACAATGTGTGAAGCCCTTTTCTGGTGTCCCCCGCCGTGATATTGCTGCAATATTAAAGCGGCGTAAAACCATACTCACTCTATACTCACTCACTCATACTTATTCTATAAAGTTCAGGTTATGGAGTTGTCATACAGTACCATTAGCTGCTGTTCTAAACAATGCTGCAACCATATCATACTGTCGTGTGAGTTAGTAGACACAAACTCTTTTCTTTCGTTATCTCATCATCATACAATATAGGTTGTAGCAGGATCACTCGGGGTACATAGGTTTTATGCGTCAGACATGTTTTACTGTGACATTGCAAAAGAATTGACACAAATTCATAATTGATAGAAAATAGTTGTTCGATTGAGATGAGGTTAACTTGTGCTATGTCACGTGACTTCGATTGACTCGGAAAATGCGTGTGGCGTTTTGCTTTGAAGCGGGGTATAAGGGATTTATTCTGTCTCTCAGAAATCCACGTGCAGCCTGTATTGCTCCTGGCGGGGTATAAGAGATTTATTCCCCCGCTGAGAGATTTATTACCCTCCAAGGCGGATTACACATCTCATCATTCTGACATGGAAGTATGATAATTAGTACTTATATTTGTCTGTGATATTTGGTTTTCAACTCTTTTACGTGTTAGGGTTATATCGGAAAGGAAACGTAATAAAACCTGATAAAATGTGTACATATGGAATGATATATATATATAAAGAAACAAACTATACTTTAATAAACATGTCTTGTCCGATCAGAGTGGTCGTGTCTTCATTTGATTATTATCAGATGAGGTGATGAGGTGAAATTGGGTTTAACGTCGCGTCCAAGATTATTGCACTTATATAGCGACGTGCATGCACGTGTATGTGTGTGTGTGGCTGCTTGTACTAGTCCGGACTGATGCCGATTTATAGTGCTAGCTCACTGAGATACCATGCCGCAGTTTAACATGAATACCCCACTCAGACACAGTATACTGACTCCGAGCCGACCAGTCCTTGTTTTAGCCCCTTAATGCCGAGCGCCAGACAGGGTAACAACAAGTACAATCTTTTAACGTCTTTTTGTATGACGCGGCCCGGGATCGAACCCTGGACCTTCCGCTCTCCGGGCGGACGCTCTACCACAAGACCACGGAGGCGGTCTGATTATCATCAGAACTCGCAACTTGTGTTGTTCCATGTTTAACTGTGTTTCCGGAACCGAAAAGGTACTCAATCTTCAGAAAGCAGTTTGTATAGTGTTTGCACTTAGTACTTGTATTCAACATCGTGTCCTTACAACTGACTACGTATATTTACAAACAGGCAAGACGCCATTATACCAATGCTGTTTCACTTTGGGACTATATGTCGTCGTGGGGATTTCGGTAGTGAACAGGTGAGACCTGTACGAATCATTCCGCCAGCACTGTCAGGACTAGTTTCGTGCACGTGGCTATCACACAAAAACAACCTGTCGGCAGTCGTGAACCTCAAAAAAATGATAAGTATAATACATATCTATGGCTCCAAATTACATACCCTCAGTGAATGTTCATAGCTTTACATTGGTTACATGTGGAATATGAATGTCGTGTGGTGTAATTACTTTGCGAACTCTTTACATATGTGCTACTGTACATTATTGAATCTACATATAAACTGACGTCCAAAAGAAACTTTACCAACTGAAAATATAAATTTCAGACAAAGTATCATTTTTTTCCCGATGAAGTCTATCTAAAACATATAACCTAAATACAACAATAGTGTATGCAGAAATAACACGCGAAAAAGTGAAAAACACGTGCACCACGGACAACTGCAAATGCACGTGCGGGTAAGGGTATAAAACGATTGCAACGGCAAGTCAGACATCCACAGTGATAAAAAAAACACAAAAGAAATGTCACGACTCACAGTCGAACAACGTGAACGAGCCTTGGGTATGGTACAGATGGGAGCCACCCACGCCCATATTGCACGAATATTCGGTTGCTCCCGTGTTGCCGTTACCAACTTGATGCAACGTTACAGACAGACAGGGCGGACCGCTGACAGGCCAAGAACAGGCAGACCCAGGGTGACCACGCCCCATGATGACCGGTACTCGCGTACCTTGCACCTCCGAAATCCCTTCCTGACAGTGACGTCATCGGCGACAAATGCCTTAGGTCACAGGGTTAGTCGACAGACAGTGGCCAGGAGACTCAGGGCTCATGGAATCAGGGCTTTTAGACCATACAGAGGACAGCTATTGACAGCGCAACATCGTCGTCTGGACTGTACGACATTGGCAACGACGTGACTGGCAGAGGGTTGTCTTCACTGACGAAAGTCGATTCTGTATGTTTAGGGCTGATGGAACGGCGGCGTGTTGCGTGCAGGAGGTCGTACCATATGGTTGAGGGAGTGTCATGGTGTGGGTAGGGATCTGTGGGCAGGAGAGGACACCGCTGGTCATAGTTGACGGAAACTTGACACCTCAGCGGTACATGGATAACATTCTTCGTCCAGTTGTCCTACCATTTCTCCAACAGCAGCCACGTGGTGTCATTTATCAGCATGACAACGCTAGAGCCCATACAGCCAGAATTGTCACTAACTTCCTCGCAGCCAACAACGTCAATGTCCTGCCGTGGCCTGCACGCTCACCCGACATGTCCCCCATAGAACACCTCTGGGACTTGATGGATCGTCGTGTTCGACAACGACCACACTCTCCAGCCAACCGGCAAGAACTGATCTTGGCCCTCCAAGACGAATGGCGCCAAATCCCACGTGACCTCATCAGACGACTGACTATTTCTGTGCGTCGAAGAGATTTTGCGTGTATTGAGGCATTTGATGGTCACACACGCTACTTATGACTTGTTATTGAACGTGAGCGATTGTTTATGTACTCTGCCTATTGTCCATGATTCTGACAGCTCGAGTTTTGTAGCACACCCAAATTTGGGGGGCCCTGACGTCATTCTCGGTCGCGGTATGATTGTCATTTTTAGTGTTGATTATGTTGATATATTGATCTTCTCAATACACTTTACTTCATGCATGTATGTCTTGTTGTTTTTGAGCAAGAGTGATTTCAAACTCTGGTAAAGTTTCTTTTGGACGTCAGTTTATATATATATATCTGAAACCTTCAGATTCGATTTATGTCCTAAGACAGTAGCTATGTTTATCGACATTGACGGTGGATTGTCAGTACGGATTTTCAGCAAGAGTAACGCCTCCCAGTACTCAAAACATCTTTCAAAACATCTTCAGTCAAACACGGATGTGTCGAAGTTGAGGTGATCCACTTAAATACTTCGAGTTATCCGAGGTTTGACACAACCGAAAAATGAACTTGGAATACCTTTATAGACGCACGCACACACCAGACGTTGCTGTCCCCAGCAATCTTTGATCATGACCACACCTCTAGAGATATTGACGTTGCTGTCTCTCACCATCGTTGGCTATGACAACACACACACACACACACACACACACACACACACACACACACACACACACACACACACACACACACACACACACAAACACACACACCATCATGGTCATGACAACACACACACACCAGATATATTGATGTTGCTGTCCCCAGCAATCTTTGGCCACGACCAGGGATATTGACGTTGCTGTCTCTCACCATCGTTGGCCACACAATACTTCGAGTTATCCGAGGTTTGACACAACCGAAAAATGAACTTGGAATACCTTTACAAACGCACGCACACACCAGACGTTGCTGTCCCCAGCAATCTTTTATCATGACCACACCTCCAGAGATATTGACGTTGCTGTCTCTCACCATCGTTGGCCATACCAACACACACACACACACACACACACACACACACACACACACACCAGTGATATTCACACACACGCGCGTGCACGCACGCACACGCACGCACACGCACACACACACACACACACCAGATATATTGACGTTGCTGTCCCTAACCATCCCGAGTCACTGTATTAACGATCATTAAGTACCAATATTGAATATTCTCTAGTTAAGTCGATCGTTACAGATTACACATTACAACATGGTGCCTATTTGCAGGTGCAGGTGCTGCCAGAAATAGACCCATCATGTCGTTAACCGGATCACATCGATTGCGCTTGCACCTCCGTCAAATACTGACTATAGCTTAACGCCGAGTAATGATTGCCAACGCAGGGGACTGTGTTCACTGATGCTAAGCAACATCTGCTGAAAACATTCGCTCTACATATATAGGACAGTGAACTGGATAATTGTCAACAAGGGTAAATTGACAATTCATTGGGCCTAATGTAAGATACTTATTGAACTTATGTCGTCTGTTTCAAGCTAGTTCCGTGTTAACATATAAACGCTTGTTCTGAAGCCAGACGATTCGACATGTTTACAATACATCCACAATTATTGATTTGAAATATTGATTTGGAATATTTTGTAGAAACATGATCCAACAGACACCAATGCCATACATTGTTGATGGTGTTGATTGTGATGTGGATGGTGTTACTTTGCCTTATTGATTGAGTTACTGCATCAGTCGTGCTTCATTGGCGGGCATTATTATCACATCTTCGAGCTTCTTATCAATATTCAAGGTAATGATAAATACTTCATCATATACAATGTAAATAACACACTTGAGAGAAATACAATACAGAAAGATTGATGCTCTGTGAGAATGAGAAGGGGTTTTGTAATGTGTTACTCGGTCTGTGGTGTCTCAGTATGCGAGAGAGGGTTGTTTAATTGGCAGGGGTATTGTTGTTTGGCGTTACGCAACAAACAAACAAACAAAGGACATGTTTACCCTTTCCGCGAACACCTGGTGTCCTCATTGATTTTCAGTGATCCGTTCATATTATTTTCATCAATATTTTGCCCCTTACGCAAAATGGAATCTGTTTCGGAAGATAATCGAGACTAGTTATTCTCTGGCGTTGACAGTTTATATTTACACTGTAGTCGTCAAAAGCCGACCGCCTTCGTGGTCTAGTGGTAGAGCGCCTGCAGGAAGAGCGGAAGGTCCGTGGTCCGATCACACCAAAAGACGTTAAAAGATGGTACTTGTTACCCTACCTGGCGCTCGGTATTAAAAGGGGCTAAAACAAGGACTGGTCAGTATACTGTGTCTGATTGGGGGTATTCATGTTAAACTGCGGCATGGTATCTCAGGGCTAGCACTATAAATCAGCATCAGTCCGGACTAGCACAAGCGGCCACACACACGTACATGCACGTCGCTATATAACCAATGAAGTCGACCAGTCAGTATTCGAGGATGTATTCAATCATTGCATCATTTGTTTTTTTAGAACACATTAGACGTGTAGGGGTAGCCTAGTGGTTAAAGCGTTTGCTCGTAACGCTGAAGACCCGAGTTCAAATCTTCACATGGGTACTAGTGTGCGAAGCCCATTTCTGGTGACACACCACCCTAGTGATATGTCTGCAATACAGGTGGCGTGATGCAGTGATGCAGGTCACAGCCGTTTACCACTTGGTGAAACCAACGAGCACGGATATGGTGCTGACAAACCTAGAAACATAATCGGGGGGAACCGGGATTCGATCATAGGTTTCTGGCGTGCCCAAGGGTCGTATTCTGCACAGCAAATCGCGGCGACTTAAACGACCAGGTCACCCGTGCCCCCATGTTCTGGTGCAAATCATGTTTTTAAAAAGGTCCCAACATCTTGCCGGTCATCAAAACTTTCACTTACCCAGGACAATACTTTTCTTGTCGAATATCTTTCCCGATCAAATCGATTAAAGAAGAGGTATAACACCTACACGTCCATTTAAACGTCCATTCCCACATGTAGATAACATGCGCTCCGTTATAGATTAAAAGCCTACATGTTCTGTCGATATAACGGCTTAACATTTCATCAAGGCAGCGGCACAGTATGTATACATCAATATAAACAAACGAATGGTAAAAACAATACAGCATTTATTCATTCCATCAAGGCACTTAACAACAATACAAGATAAACACTGAATGAGAGATTCAACTGTTTACTGTTGCTATGGCGGACATACACTACACCTACAGTCAAACATACACAAACAGGTAATTTTCACTTGCCGCTGAGATCGACCAAACTCAAGAAACAGCAGAACATGTATAAGTTTTATACATGCAGTTCATACAAACGTTTTGATCAAATAATCGTGATCTGTTTTAAGGCAGATCGCGGTGTTCTTGTAGTGTCAGACTGGGCTAGTGATGAACTTCAGTTTCCTCTCTCATGTCAAGCTCTGACGGGCCTTCCTAGACGGGAGTCCTAGACGGACCTCTCTAGACGGGCCTCCTAGATCGGAAACCCAGATTGGCCTCTGAGAGTGGATGGTGGATATGTCACGTGGGCATGACATTACATCGCTGCTCTTGCAAAGAAGCATCATGAGTCTCAACCGCGTCGTCTGGTCGCAGCGTCACGTGACTTCCTCATCAGTATGACCTTCACCTCTTCCTTAGGAACAATGGCACCCCTGGCTTCTAACTGAAGGTGGAGTTTTGTGTCTTCTGCTTTCTGTATGGTAAACTTTTGTAAAATTTTAGCCATGGTAATCTTAGCCTCCAGAATGGCAAACCTAATCCCGATACAAGCACGTGGCCCTGCTCCAAACGGAAGGAACGTGTAACCAGCGGCGCCGCTTTTCTTTTCTTGGGAGAATCGTTCCGGGTCAAACGTTTCAGGACTTTCCCAGAATTCCTCGTCGTGGTGGAGAGCCCAGACGTTGGCCTGGATGTTCATATCAGCAGGGATGGTGACGCCATTGTACGTTTTTGTTTCAGATGCCTTTCTCGTCACAATCCTGAAAAAAATGAGGAATAAATTTAATTGAATACTAAGCTCTGCTCTCTGTTTCAATTCGTTTCAGTGCTATAAAACTAAGAGTGAATGAGTTAATTTTAACGTCGCATTGGCAATATGTCAGCGTCTGAAGCTACCGGGATGAATGGGAATAGCCTATCAGCACGAGGAACTACTGCCATGTTTATGGTAGAAGAGATCAACACAAACGTATAGACATCGTTTCAATATTTGTTCTATGTATCATATGCATTAGGAATACTTACAATGAAGCAGTGGGGTAGAGGCGACAGACTTCGTCGAACACCTTATCGAAGTAAACCAAGTTCTTGACGGAGTCATATGTGACGTCACGCTGAAATGAATAAGATACAAACAATAACACACCGTGACAAATGAATAATTATAAAAAACAACAGCTAGAGGTTATAAATTATTTAACTAAGAGATATGCGTCTTTACAGTTAAACAGTATGACAAACAGTACAACATATATTGGTCAGTGGGGTAGCCCAGTGGTTAAAGTGTTCGCTCGTCACGCTGAAGGGCCGGGTTCTATGTCCCAATGGGTACAATGTGTCCGGTGTCCCCGTCGTGATATTGCTAGAATATTGCTAAAGGCGGCGTAAAACCATAATCATTCAATCACTCCCAATATACACTAATTAAAACATTAGTCACATATTATCTCAGCGGGGGCACGGGTGGCCCAGTCGCCAAAGGCGCTGTCTAGAGTAACGTCCATTGGGCACGCCAGAAACCTATGATTGTGGGTTCCAATCCCGGTTCGCCCCATTTATGTTTCTAGGTTTGTCAGCACCATACCCGCGCTTGTGGGTCTCACCGAAGTGCTAAACGTCTGAGACCTGCATCACTTCGTGCTTTCCTCTAACATTAAGCTGACACGCCGTGATATGACTGGAATACTGTTAAAAGCGGCGTTAAATCCAACTCACTCACTCACTCACTATTATCTCAGCCTACCTGTCCCACTTTCTGTTCGATCTCCTTGCTGAGTTTCTTGTGGACTTCCGGGTGTAGAGCGAGTACGTGACTGAAGAAGGCCAACACTGTGCTGGTCGTCTCGTAGCCCGCCAGGAGGAAGGTCATGCTCTGTGCCACCACCTCTCTGTCAGTCATTGCTTTCTTCAGGGGATCCTTCTCGTTACCACGGGCCTTCTGTGGAAACAACATCATCTGGACCAGGTCCACTATGCGACTGTTTTCCTGAAAAATAAGATATCCAGAAATATAAATATGGCCAAATTATAGTTTAATGAACAGTGACATGATGTATCGCCTACTGAAATTACTTTTGAAGTCATTTCCAAAATTAATTTCATATGACACTAATGCGAGGAACGTGTTAGGGTGCGTTTTATGAAAACTTACCCCCATTTCTTTTCTGATGGTGATAACTTCCTTCATCTGCTCGCGCAGCCAGACTACGGGATTCATACCAAAGATGACCACGAGGTTCTTGATGAAGAATACCACGTGAGAGAGAAACGGCAGAAACACTGCAAGACAAAAGTGGACAGGGTTAAATACATGGTTAAAATGCAACATATAAAAAAAATCTTGTAAGTAGTAACTATTCATTTATTAACTTTAAAAAAAAGTTCTCCTTTGCCATAAGAAAGATACTTTCCAGTAAAAAGAAAAGAAAAGAAGGAATGTGCAGTTGTACTCACTGACTAAGGGCAGGATTAGTGTCTTTGAGAGAGTGTTGAACAGCGTCCTAATGTTGTTGAGGAAAGGGTCGTTGGGGTCGGTCTGGGCGTCAGTGCGGAGTCCAAAGGCGCACCTGCCAATGACGTCAAGGGTCAGACATTGGAAGGTACTGTAGATATCAAATGAGTCCCCGGATGCTGCCTTCCTGTCCAAGTTATCAATCAGAATATCAGCCGTATCCGCCATGGTGGAAAACATCTGTAGCAACAGAAATAACAGAGATAAAAATAGAGTCTTGCTGTGTCATGATACAAAGTGTTTAATAAAGATCAATTTCATGTTCAAATGTTCTGCAGTATGCGAATTTAATAATAGGAGCAACGATATATAGTATAGAATATGAAACCCATTAGGTACTGAGATGAAATAACGGATCTATTATGCTGACCTGCTTCATTTTCCCAGAGCTGAATGCAGGTGTCAGGAGGTTCCGACTCCGTTTCCACTGCAGTCCGTTCTCCAGGAACAGCCCAAGACTCTTCCTTGGTGCCAGGGGGAATTGTTTGCGGCACTGGAAGTTCTTGAAGTCCTTCACAAGAATGTGCTTGAGGAGGTCGGGGTCACTGACGGACATGACCGGAGTATAGCCCTCGAAGTAACCAAAGACTCGCCCATACTTCTTACTCCAGTCAACGGTAGCCTGGAACTGGCCTTTCTTCATGATTTCTATCAGATTACCAGAGATGATGGATGGTTCAGGCCCAGGGATTCCTAGACGCTTGAACACACTGAAGTGCCGCTTGAGATGCCTGCATTCAAAATACATTATGATTATATTAAAGATTCAAATATCAGATTCGCATTTCAAAATTAAGAATAACAAACTAAACAGAAATTATTTTTCAAAACAAGCTTTATTTTTATGATTACCATTCCACTTAAACACATATCGTATATACATAATACTATAAACAGTATAAAAATTGTTATTGAAATAATAAATATATTATTTTTGCTTGAATAAAGATTGACTAAGACATTTTGAGATATGTCTTAATAAATATGCAATCTATATACATGTAAAGGGAGACGTTATGCTTACCAGAGGAATCCAGCAAGGAGTGCGACAAGGGTGACTACTATCTCCGTGAGCATCTTGTATAACGTCTGGTAGAACACAGGTTGTGGTGTGGCGAGATCCTGCGATGCTGGGCCTTATATACTGTCCACGTATCCTACCTCTTGTGTTATTACAGGAAGGGGGAGGAGTCTAAATGCCTATTCTTAGGTTTGCCCTCTACTGGAGTGGCCCTGGTTATCAAAAGTTGAAGATATGGTACTAAAACGGGGAAGCCTTAGACCGAATTAGACACCCTTACACCAAGAATATTTACGACAAACACCTGTTATCGATTCAGATAATACCAAGTTTGTATCTGTTCTATCTGAAGTAGAGTGACGCAAAATAAAGCCTCATTGGTGTATTTATGGGAAATTGTTACTTTTAATCTATAATTAATGGTCATAATAAGTTATTTGTTAACTATCCACGTTTTAACATAAGTGTTTGTGTGTTTGAATTGGTGTCGCGTTAGAAGAGGCACTTAAGTATGACAAGAAACTTACACATGTTAACATGGCAGTCTAGCCACTTTGTTCCAGACAGATAGATGGAGTATATTAGAATGTTCAAGGTCACGGTAACCCGTCCAGGAAGGTACAAACCGGTAACTGAGGGTCAAAATGTTCACCCAAGCTCACTCAAGCTGTTTGACGACACTTCAGAACTAACCTCACTCGAGCTTACTACAAAGAATACAGTACATGAGATATTGCGTATATATTATTAGCCACGATCTACCCTTTAATGCAATATCGACCTAAGATTAATCTCTAAAACATGTTTTAGGTGCAAAAAAAAAGATCATTTGGCAAGATTAAGATTTATGTAGCAAAGTAGACATTGCATTAGCTTTTTAAGCAATTTCGTTGAAAATGAAACAAAAATTTTGAATGAATGAACTCTCCGATCTCTTTCTCTCTCATAATATTGTGTTATATCTTTCTTTATTTGTTAACACCGAACGTAATAAGACACATGCTATTGTAGAATCCTTTTCATGTTTTCAAAATATAGCCCAACCCTTAACATGACTTAATATTATAAGGAAAGACATTAATTGCGTCTCGGTTCATGGCATTGTAAGATACCAGATTACAGACCGGAAGTAGATCTATTGTTGTTCATTGATGTTTCCATAAAGCTGCCACGTATGTATAGTCACGCCCTACCCACCAGACCCACCACCACCCCAACCACATTAAACATGAAGTAGGCGTTGCTTGTTTTTAAATGTATGACGCAGACCAGCCTCAAACAATGGCAATGCTGACAATGCTACTTTCAGCTCTGCAAAGATTCCTCTCTGACATTTGTACATGTACAAGATATTGATCCATTGAACTCATTCCCTGAAGTGTGTCACAGAATCGTGAAATTAAATCCAATATCGGAAATAGCAATAAAAGCATATTGCCTGTCTTACATGGTTTATTGTCAAACAAAGTCAATAATATTCCATTGTGAAGTTTATACAGGTATACTTCAAAGCAGGCTAGACCTGTATGTAGACTTACGTCAAACTATTTTCATAGATAAATTAGAAATTAATAAAGCATCTGTATAAAACATTTGATTAAACGGTTACAGAGTGTTAAACTGCGTTTTCCGTAACATGTATCTACCTATCTATTGCACGTTTTAAGAACAAATGTGCAAATATATCCCCGATGTCATGCTGTAAACGAAAACGCCATTAAAGAAATTGTGAATGTAAGGAAGAGACCTTTGTTTTAGGGAATGCTATACCTTTATGTGTGCAAATATTTGATAATGATTGATTGTATGAGAGAACGCTTTCGACCCAAGGATAGCTGTTTGATATAAGAAGTGATAAAAACCTTCAGGACTTTCTGACATTAGATGTATTGGTAGGAATGTGAGTTCCACTAAACTCACTGCCAAATGTACGACTTTCTGAAGCTTGTTTCAACTATTGATGTTTAACTATCACAAGACTGACGGTCATACAACTATTGCTATAATGGTTTTAACTATCGCAATGATATATGATGTTCCCCTAAAGTCACCCTTTTAAATATGCGTGCATAATAGGGTTTACAGTATTGCTCTGTTACTTTCATGGGAGAGTGTCGTCTTGTGGACACAAGGGGCGGTCGGGTAGCCTAGTGGTTAAAGCGTTAGCTCGTCACGCCGAAGACCCGGGTTCGATTCCCGACATGGGTACAATGTGTGAAGCCCATTTCTGGTGTCCCCCGCCGTGATATTGCTGGAATATTGCTAAAAGCGGCGTAAAACCTTACTCACTTACTCACTTACTCACTCACTCTTGTGGACACGATATCAGGAAATCATTCTCGTCTTTGGATGATTCCCTAATTACTCATATTTATCCTTTGTCATTCCTTTGTTGTCCTCAGTTTTGCGATCTTTCCAGTTCAAAAGCAATTTACACCTTCCTATGTTTGTGACGAAGCGTTCAGGCTACTTCTTCGATTTCACGGCGAACCTGTGCGCTTTAAAAGTGGCGGGAGATAGTGCGTGCAGTGTCGGGTATTGGGGCAACGAGAATGTATTTTTATACCTGAGGGTCAACAAGGTGATAAGGTTCACAAAAATGAAGAACAACTTGTAAACACCCCAACCTTTATTGTCATATGCATGATGAGGCAAACAACTCAGACAGTTATTTCTTGAAATAAATTTAAATTGTTATTATAAATACGTTAGTTGTTGATACTGTGTACTCAGCGATAGAATGTACAATGTAACGAACATAATGTTGATGAGATGCCACTGACTTGGTTCAAACTACAACTACTTTCAATATGAAAATTTCGTTACACCTGATTAATATATTTCAGATTGGTGAGCCATGCCTTTAAACTAAAATCTTATTTATTATAAAAACAGTTTAGTCGTTAGTTCAGTCACTAAACATTTTGAAATTTGAATCAAAATTTAAATACTAGTAAGCTTTATCTTTTAGATATAGTATTAGAGTAGTATTTATGCGTTTCCAGTACTTATCGTCTGGAAATAGAGCTTTACGAACTAAAGGTGTCCAGACTAGCCAGGTCTCACTGTATACAGGTGTAAGGAGAAGGCCGTTTAAGCCGCAAGTGACCTCTGTGTCAACACATTATGCTCAACCTTAACCACTTAGTCCTAATTAGACCATGTCATTTCACGAAAGGTGTTTTAGCAGTGTTTTAACCGGTCAATTACCCAAGAAGTAAGGTCACATTCAGCGAAGTCAGCGCTAGTTTCATTCAGAACGCGTTTTCATTCAAGTTAATATATATCTATATATAACAGCCGGTATAATATATCTATACATCATTATAAACAGATCGAAGTATTCCAAGGTCAGCGAAGCATTTATGACAACCATCATAACAACATGCCGGAAACAGGGCCCATTCAAGGACGTGACATGCTGCATACATGACCTACTGGGGATGTGACATGTGTCATAAATTGTCTCGTCACTGTGGTACTAATGGTGCATGTAATATAATATTAGCTTTATAACAATCGCGTCAATAATTCGTTCATTCTTGTTGGCGACATATATCGCCTACAGGTGTCACCAATCACCTGTGGGAGTGGTTTGGATCAGCATGGTGATTAATTGATAAACGGTGTGGTGTATGGGAATTTCAACGTAAGAATTTTCTTCAACACCTTTGAAACATTAATAAACCGCGCTTTGTGGTCTTGTTAAACTGCTTACAATGTTGAAGTCTAAAAGACTTTTTAAAAGAGTTTTTGGATTAAAAAACACCCACTGAATTCTTTCCCCTAGCGGTTGAAATCAATCCAGATACTTCCTACCCGCTGAGCAGTACACGACAGGGTAGGTAATAAAATTGAAGGTCAAGGTCAGCGCAATACTCCAGCGTTTGCCGTCGTCAAGCAGTCTGGTTGAATTTGAGTTGTTTGTATTGTGTTGATTAATTAACGCCGCATTCAGCAATATTTCTGATTGGTTGAAAACATTGTCAAATGGGATTGGATCCAATGCAATTATAACTCCGTCGGTATTAAATCTGATTCGTTTATATTCTCTACAATGTATGCGGAGTTGCGTCCCTTGGGCACGCCAGAAACCTATGATTGTGGGTTCGAATCCCGGTTCGCCCCAATTATGTTTCTAGGTTTGTCAGCACCTTACCCGTGCTCGTGGGTTTCACCGAAGTGGTAAACGTCTGAGACCTCACTTCGGGCTTTCCTCCCACATTAGGCTGACACGCCGCGATATAACTGGAATACTGTTAAAAGCGGCGTTAAACCCAACTCACTCACTCACTATGTCCCCGTAGTGACTTATGAGAACAAACTTCTGTTTTGTGTGGGTCTTTTATAAGCTAAGCGTATTTTTGACTTTGAAGGTCGTATCATCCAGGTGAGATACGGTGAAATGTGGTTTAACGTCGCTTCAAGATTGCCGTACTTATATAAGCAGCGTTTATGCACGCGCGCGTGCGTGCGTGCGTGCGCGTGTGTGTGTATGTGTGTCTGCTTACGCTAGTCAAGACTAGTGTCGGTTTTATAGTGCTAGCCCACTGAAATACCACGTCGCAGTGTTAACATGGATACCAAGCTCAGATACTGTATACTGACTGAGTCGACAAGTCCTTGTTTTATCGTCTTAATGCTGAGCACCAGGCAGGGTAACAACACGTTCATTCTTTTAACGTCTTTCGGTTGAACCTATTCTCTCAAAGATACTTCAGTTAACAAACCCAGCTTGAAACTTATTGAATTATTCGATTGATGAAGTAATTTATTTTAGCACAACAATGACCATCAGTCGACATAATTACTGTCTGCATTTGTAACTTATCAATAAGATGAATTTAAACTCGTTTTGGTATTCCTAGTCGACACACTGTGTATGCGTGTTATTTTTGTAAACTATTATTGTCTTTACAAATCGTTATGACGATAACCCATCTTCATTAAATCAAAGCAGATGACCGCAATGGTTGACACAAATAGGTTATGACGTGTTTGGTCTTATCAACACGTTCTCCCACCCTAAATATCCATCCCTGAGTCCCACCCATTGTTAGCTGATAAGGTACGGATACAGGGTGTAATTATAGTGATCCGGTGCTATATCGAGCGTGTTCCACGATAAGACGCTCCGCCAGAGATCTGCTCCCCATGTGTGGATAACGTCAGGTTAGTGACCGCCTTGATCCTGTCTGTGATCCCGATTAGCCTGTCGTAACGTGTGATGTTTTAATTTAAACGTATCAGTTGAATATTATAGCATACGAAGACGTTTAAAATTTTCATGAAACAAACAAAACAATAAAAAACAGTATGACGTATGTGGCTTTTTGTTGAATTGGTTGGTTGGTTGGTTGGTTGTTTTACTCAGCAATATTCCAGTTATGTGACGGTGGTCTGTAAATAATCGAGTCTGGACCAGGCAACCCAGTGAGTGATATCATGAGCATCGATCCACGCAATTGGGATCGATGACGTGCTTCAACCAAGTCAGCGATCCTGACCACCCGATCCCGTTGGTCGCCTCTTACGACAAGCATAGTCGCCTTTTACGGCAAGCATGGGTTGCTGAAGACCTATTCTACCCCGGATCTTCACGGGTCGGAAAAGCTAATAAATGAGTAGTATTGCAAATATGACACATCCTGGTAAAAATTCCTTTAAAGGTTATATTACTAGACTTCAACTGAAGGGCTCTGAAATATGTTTCAAACATACCTGGTCTACAGACCATTGACAACAAACATTCCATAATTTCGATTTGTTTCATATCTATAGGTCATCTTATATTTACAGATTTTTTATGATGCCAATATTTTAATATTACCCCCAAATTAGAAAAAAACCTCGGAGTTATTCACAACAGGACCGCTTAAGTTGTGAAACATTGGAACCTCTGCAATTCCTAAAGAAAAAAGATGCATTTTTTAAACAGAGAAACAGAAACATTTAATGTACATTATCAAAATAGACACAGTTCGAACACAGACCTTTGGAAGACATTGGCACTGTCACTGTCACTGTCTGATGAGCATCGATCCACGCAATTGGGATCGATGACGTGCTTTGACCAAGTCAGCGAGCCTGACCACGCGATCCCGTTGGTCGCCTCTTACGACAAGTAGTCACCTTTTACGGCAAGCATGGGTTGTTGAAGACTTATTCTACCCCGGATCTTCACGGGTCGCTTTTAGTTGAAACCTTAATTTGGACATGAGTGACACAGTGAGATGAGTTACTGAACGTCGCTTTGCAGAATATGTGCCAGTGGCAGGTTCGAGCCTCGCTCCGTGTATAACCCTTCATCTGTCACCACCGTACCCGTTTACGACTTGCATCAGTGTTGGTTTGTCGTCCACATTAATCTGAACAGAAAGGATATGAGTGAAATATTGTAGAAGTTACCAATCTTCTCGCTAATATATGTCGTCCTGGTGCCTTCTCGTTGTGGCGGCATTGTGTTATAACAATGCGTTTTGTGGAATAAGTGAGACAATATTATTTACCGCCGCATTCGGCAATTTTTCAGCTATGTCAGGGTGGCCACTACCTAATCAAGTCCATGCCGGCGATCCACGCAATCTGGGAACGATGGCACGCAATCTAGGTACAATGGCACGCAATCTGGGTACGACTGCACGCAATCTGGATACTATGGCACGCAATGAGCTAAGTCAGCGAGCCTGTCAAGCCGATCCCAATTTAGACGGATTTTACAAGCATGAGATCCTGGGCATACTCTCTGTCGTTCAGTGTCCACAATAATAATATCTGTGGATAACAATAGACGATTTAAATGATAATTTACATTTCAAAATGGTTTGTTGATTGAACCGAAGGCTGATTTGTTTTTAAAATGAATAAGTTGGTAAAGATTGGAAAGTACTTATATCCATTAAGAAATACATGTATGTCCAGGTGGTACGAACTTAACTCAGATTGACCAGATAACTTGTACTCCATCGAGATCTAAAGATGTTATACTTGCATTGTGAATTAAAGTAAACAATACTCAACGTTTTTAAAGATCCACGTCAAAGGGCCTGACCATGCGATGGCCATTTTCGTCGTTATTACAACCGTTTGAGTGAGTGAGTGAGTGAGTGAGTGAGTACATCTTCCCGAGGCAAGGGAGTTAACTGACTATCAAAGTCCAGTTCCCACCCTTGCCGAACTTGGCTGGCATTATGGAGTTACAGTTTGGCTGGTCTAACGAGTCTAAGCATAGTCCAATCAAAATCGCGCAACGAAATCGAAATCCGGTTTGTAAACTGTCGTGCAGATTTCGGTCGATTGCAGGATTTGCAAAGCATATGTACAGCCGATCCCAATTTAGACGGATTTTACAAGCATGAGATCCTGGGCATACTCTCTGACCCGCAGTGTCCATAATAATAATATCTGTAGATAACAATAGACGATTTAAATGATAATTTACATTTCAAAATGGTTTGTTGATTGAACCGAAGCCTGATTTGTTGAAAATGAATAAGTTGGTAAAGATTGGAAAGTACTTATATCCATTAAGAAATACATGTATGTCCAGGTGGTACGAACTTAACTTAGATTGACCAGATAACTTGTACTCCATCGAGATCTAAAGATGTTATACTTGCATTGTGAATTAAAGTAAACAATACTCAACTTTTTCAAAGATCCACGTCAAAGGGCCTGACCATGCGATGGCCATTTTCGTCGTTATTACAACCGTTTGAGTGATACAGATACAACAGATATTTTTCTAATCTTTTTATGTTTTTAATCAAGGTGCTCAAGTGATTTGATGCACTTTGCAATGTAAAACCCGTTTTATCACAATATAGATCTTGAGTTTTGATCAGATCGTCTTGACTGGGCGCCGCCATTTTGTTTGAAGCAAATGCAAGTGATACGAGAGGTGGAATTTGAATGGTCCATAGGAGAGGCTTAGTAGGGACATAACTCGTAATAACCACTGGTCGCGCTACGATCGAGCCCAGGAATTCCAGCCTAGTTCGGCAAGGGTGGAAACTGGACTTTTAAAGTCTGTCAACTCTCTTGCCTCGGGAAAATGGAGTGAGTATGGTTTTACGCCGCTTTCAGCAATATTCCAGCAATATCACGGCGGGGACACCAGAAATGGGTTTCACACATTGTACCCATGTCGGGAATCGAACCCGGGTGTTCGACGTGACGAGCGAATGCATTAACCACAAGGCTACCCGCCCGTCCCCAAGAGCTGTTACGAGCAGGAATCCCATGCGGGACTTGTTGCAATCTACGGTCAAATGAACTGTCGCACATTGAATTATTTGTTTAGAAGAACAAGAACAGGAAGAATGTTTTATTCGAGTGTCCAGTGGTCAGTACATGTTAAAATAGACAGTATATCAAAATAAAATAGTATACATCGGCCGGCCGACTGGGGCCTATTAGACTCTATTAACCGTGTAACGGTCTAAAATATTAGAAGTATTATTTAGTGCTAAAATACGACAGGACATGCTATCTGTATACATGAAATTACTACTCAAAAGCCAAACAAACATCAAACAAACAACAACGTTTGAGAAACGACCGAGTCCAATTGCAAGAGGTAGTAATTACAGACTGCATTCGCCATAGTGTTTTAGTTTGTGATTATCCGATAGATATACTCAATGAAAAACGTGGATTATGTGTTGAAACTAAACATCACACATTTTAGAATGGTTGGAAGCCTTTTTACAGACAAACGAAAAGTCCAAAGAAGCCATAACCAGTTAGAAACAAAATTATTCTGAAACAGAATATATATATATGGCTCAGACAAAATAAGAGTGCAATCCCCATGTTAGTCCTCTCTATGATCTTAACATAGTCGGTGATATGTAGTTTCGGGAAAGAAAAAAAAGTAATACCATCATTTAATAATTACGTAGCATACTCAGGAAGAAAGTCAATGTTATATATTTTTCCATCAAGCATTGATGTCATTTGCAGGTAGCGCATGCGTGCAAACTAGGTTCCGGTTATATCGACAGAGGCGATGTTTCGGTGTGTTTTTAGTGTTTTTCCTTTTGTAGGACTGGAGTTTCAATTCATTTTGCAAAATGTTACGCATGGTTTGGTTTCATTTTTAAGATACTTCGCCATTACACGATTAAAGTATAACAGTATCCGCACGTTGCTGTTTCCCCGCTAAACTTAAATAAAAGTTTTAAAATCAATTAAAATAAATTCTTTAGAACTTAATACCACATACCGCATTCGACGTAATAAGCGCCCCGCTCTAATAAGCGCCCACGGCAATATTTGCCAATATATTGGCTAGTGAACAATCCCAATTAGCACCCTTCCGACTGATCAATGTACACAACTCGTGTTCACTTATTCGTGTATACTACGCACTTGTGTGTTATATGCACACTTAATTACGGGCAATTAAATTCTGGAAAAATATATCTGTCGTGTATAATACGCACAGACTTTTCTTTTGTATCATTTCAGGCTGTCAGCAGAAATCATAAAATTTACGATCTTTCGACTCTTTCACCAAAACTATATTCTATTAAGAGCCCCCTATTTCTAATTTTGAGATCGCCCTGGACGCTTATTACGTCGAATACGGTATTAACATCTTTGATAGGTAAACACTTTAAAAGGTTCCATAAAGAGCTATTAAACGTTTTTGATTTACGGAAAATCTAGATCTAATTTCTTTTACGTCTTGATAGATCTTTGTTTTTGGTTGTCGTGCAATATACTGTCTCTAAATAAAGTTTTAATGTTTAATCCAGTGTAAGGTCACATTAGTCAGCAGTCTTTTGCAGTCTTGTTGGGATCGCTGGGTGATCCAGTTCATGTGTTTAGTGGCCTTCAAAATACGAAGATCGTTTCGTATTAGAGTTATTTCCCTTTGAATTTGGCAAAGCGGAAAATGGCATGGTTCTGAATGAGACCGGCAATGTTTTTGTTTTGTTTTGCATTGGAAATGGAGTTTTGTTGATTTATCTTTCAATAATACAGATCGCTTGAGGATGGAAAGATCCAAAGCTGCCCCCGGGAAGAAAGGTCCAAAACCCAAAGGTGCGCAATTTAATTAACAATAATTAGGATGCAGATATGGTAGATAAAGGTTCTGAAAGGAGATAGGATATATCCGTCATGAATATTTTATGACTTTAAATTATAACACCCAAAGTAGACAGTGTGTAGAAATTGACATTTTATGCGGCCCCTTTCTATGCCACACTCGAACACAGTGGGCCTCACTTTTCATCACAAACATAAGTGTAAATCAAAGTTTAAAGATCATGTTTGGACTACCTCTGCCAGTGGTATCGGAGTAAATTCGATTTTATGAGGCGTCGCAATTCGCTTACCTAACGTTTCGACAGTTGACAGCAAAAACCTCATTGTCTGGGTCACGAAACATGAATAATTTAACTATATTAACATATTAATAAAAGCCTTGTTGAGATTGTTTATCTGCTTGAAATTTATTGAATGATGGGTAGTAAGACAATTTAAAGGGGCACTGATCTAACGGACTGGTTGTTGCCTTTGTTATTGTTTTTCCCCCGTGAGTACCCGGATGATACGCAACGCAACTGAGCGTGACCAGAGACTGGGCTACCGTCTGCAAGGACAGCTAAATAAACTTGGAGGCTGGAGGCAATATTTGTTTTACGCATTTTTGAACACTGATTGGTTAACTGTGATCTATAAAGATTTCGACAAAGGGCGCATGTTAATTCATTTCTTCAGCCTAAACAAACAGACAAAAAGAACAAGGGAGCTCATCGGATGTCGTCATTTGGAAATACCCCAGATGGTTATAGTTTAATACTAAAAACAGTATCCATGCAGTGAAAGCATTTTCGGATTTCGGCTTGCGTCGATAATACGATTACTACTCCCTTGTTGTCATCCACGTTTTCTCGTATAACCCTACACTTGTGTATTTGTCGTCATTCACTTGATGCTCAGTTAATGAATTTATTACAGGTACAATTAGTGGTAGCACCACTTATATTACCTGACAAAGGTTCCCATTTGGCATTTATTGTGTCTGGGGTAATTATTCAATCTAAATCCAGGTTTGAAGTGAGGTGAAAAGTGTGTTATGTAATATGCACGTGGCAGCCCAGCAAGAGATGAATGATCAGTTGATTTACTTTTTTTGTAAATCAACGGATCGTTCCTAGTCATCAAAGGATTAACAGAAAATACGTTGATTGATTAATCACTGTTATCTTGCACAGTGGATATGTCAAGAGTGAGTGTTTACATGTCTAGGTTTACTAAAACAAAGGGAATACACTCATATCATGGCGCGAAGTGCCGATGTAAAAACAACATACTTTGTTCAAAGGGTTAACTGATAATACGTTGATTGATTGATCATTGTTATCTATCACTCAATGGAATTTTTAGGAACCGTGGACGCTATGAAAATAGTTGTCACGTGGGCTTTCTCAGCCGACCATTGAGACTTGACACCTATGTAAAACACCTGAAACAATCCAAGCGATCAGTTGAGAAACGAACACGGGTTATAATATCCCGAAACGATATATATCTTTTAAAATATTTGATTGTTACTGAGACACGTGACATCGAATAAGTTTCTTTGTACAGCTGCAGACGAGTGGGATATTGTTCCTTTGTGTGGATATTCACGGATACATTCCTCGAACAAGGAAGCTGCCTAAAACTTATACACATAAATTTGGTAGGTTGTAATTATGATATCTGCATTTTGTTTTCCTTCATTTGAACCGATTCGTTCTTGTCACTCTACGTCTTGGTTGGGAAATTCTTCAATGCGCGATAGACGTTGTTTTCACAGGTCTTTTCCTTTGTAAGCGTGTATATATTACCGTCAATTTGTAAAATGTGATTCTCTCAGGCAATTTATAAAATGTGTAAATATTTCAGTCATTTTGACCAAAAAATCTGTCCAGATTGATCAAGACGATCAAAAGGGCCTACAAACATCACAACAGATTATTATGTAGGATTAAAAGCCAAACAACTTAGAAATGTACTTTTCAACGTTACATTTTCAGTCTCTTGGTGATGACATTAAACATCAAAATGTTTGGAATTCGTTATCATAATAATACAGATGGAAATGTTTTTCAGTCACTTTGTAAAATAACTGAATATTTAGACGTTTAATAAATTTGTTACACATTTGACAGTAAAAAAAAATACACACTATAAAAAAAGCAATGCTCAGGTGAAATATGTACTTTGTGTTGCAAGTCAAAATAGTGTAAACGAAAATCGCAAAATTACCAAGCAAGTGACTTATCAAAACTTCGTCACCATTACCGATGCTACCCACAAAGATACCTACATTTCCTTATTATCTCGAAAACTATTTCATTTTGTTGATCAATGTGACCACACGCCCTTATTACCACCCATAAAAGTGACTAATGCGCTTACGAATGGCGCAGCTGAGGTCGCGAACTAGTCTAGATTTCTGCTATACATCCGGGTATTCACTGGGAAAAAACAATAACAAAGGCAACAACCAGTCCCGGGGAATTGCGTTAGATCAGTGCCCCTTTAAGATTTAAAAAAAAGAAGTCATACATTTCCTTTATTATCTTGATTTCTATCTTTTGAAATAGGTGAGGGGAATTGGGGTTTCACCTTGCGTCCAAGATTATTGGATTTATTTAGTGACGTGCATGTACGTGTGTGTGTTTGTGTGGCTGCTTGTACAAGTCCGGACTGATGCCGATTTATAGTGTTAGCTCAGTGCCATGCTGCAGTTTAACATGAATACCCCACTCAGACACAGTATACTGACTCCAAGTCGACCAGTCCTTGTTTTAGCCCCTTAATGCCGAGCGCCAGACAGGGTAACAACAAGTACCATCTTTTAACGTCTTTTGGTATAATGTGGTCGGGGATTAAACCCCGGACCTTCCGCTCTCCGAGCAGACACTCTACCACTAGACCACAGAGGCAGTCTCTTATGAAGGAGTCTCACTACAACTAAACCCATCTGCCTTTCAACCACCAACGTTCAAGTTTAACTAGCATAGCAGTTGTTTTAAGGTTTTATTTTGAAATTTATTTAGATAATAAGATCTCAGTAGCTCTCTTTAAATGACTTAATGCACAATCAGAGAGCACATAGGGGTCACTGGTGCCTAATCATCTAATGCGCCACAATTCACTGAGCCGATTTGCATCCCTTAGGCATGCTAAAAATTTTGTGACCATGGGTTTGATACCAGATTCTGATTATGTTTCGTGGTTAGCCAATATGGGTTCCACCAAAGTGGTTAACATCTGAGACCTGCCACAGTTCATATTTTCCTCCAAAATCTTGCTGACATGCCATTGTATAACTGGAATACTGTTCAAAGCAACGTAAAACCAAACACACTGACAGAGCCTACGACCTGGCTATATTAATGTGTTATTATTCACAGGACACCCTCCGACAGGGGACTTCATTGCACTAGGTGTGTCGAAAGGAAAGGGAGCAGAGCCAGACACCAAGAGATCCACCAGCCCGCAGCCAGTCGGGAGAAAAGCGACCTCCTCAGCCGATAGGAAACGAGAAGCTCCAGTTGCCACCCCAACCACTGGGGGACTAGCGCCAAAGAAACCAAAGCTTGGACAAACGTTTATGCCACTAGGTCGTCATGGAGATGTTGAACGGAAAGGATCCCCAGCTACAGTTGTTCCCCTTCAGTTTGAAGAGACAGCTATTGATGGTAATTTGTAATACAATGGAATCTGTCATGAAGAAAGTGCTCGAGTTTGTTGTTTCCCAAAGTAGATTCAGTGAGCCCCTGATGCAGAAATCAACAGATTCAAGAGATTTCTCAGACTTAACCTTGTTATGGTTAAGAGTTAAATTGATGTAGCATATTATTACAGGTGATCAGATCGTTCAGGGTTACTCAAAATTGCAGTATGTGACCCTTTTGTTTAGATCATGTAGATGGTGACTGGTGATGTTGGTTTATAGATTTTTTATAAAATTTCAATTTTGAGCATAGATAGATTGGCCCTTGATCCATGTTATTTTACAAAGTGCATAGTGTCAGCAATGTTTTCTCAGAAACAACTGAAGTTACCATATCTAAGAGACTGAATTCGGGAATTGGTGCCGTAAAATATTTTTTTCAGAAAAGGGGCCTTTTGTGAATGTGTTGTGCGATTAATTTCACATGTTTTTATTTTTTCTGATGACATAAAGCGACCCTAGTGCCTATCTCTTCTCCTAGACTTTATAGAACTCTTTTTTTTATCGTTTATATTCACTACAATCTGAACAAACAAATGGCAGGAGATAGTGATAACACTGTTTTCTTGATATTATTATTAATATTTTAATGAAATATCCTGATATGTTATTCATGTCACAGTATTCATATCTTCCTTTATATCTGGATGTTATGGATGGTTACTATTGCCATTAGTATTTGGTTGACGAGTCAGATACTTGATTCGCTTGGTGATAATGATGGGGACTCTGTCACAGTGGACCCCTGTGAGGTGTTGGATCAGCTGCTGGTGGCAGAGGAATCTGGGAGTGACGAGAGAATCGAGGGCTTGCTGTGTGGAGCTGTCAAATCTCTCCGATCCAACAGAGCAAAGCCTGACCCAGCTGTTTTTCTTTCTCTGATGTATCTTGCGAAAACACGGCCCACCATCTTCTGTAGTGAAGTTGTAATTGAAGTAGGTATTCCGCAGATATACTTTCTGAACTTGGTTCTTTGCATGTTATAATACCCGTGAAGATCCGGGTTAGAATAGGTCTTCAGCAACCCATGCTTGCCATAAGAGGCGACTATGCTTGTCGTAAGTGGTGACTAACAGGATCCTTGATGCATGTCATCGCATCCAAATTGTGAAGATCGATGCTCATGATGTCAATCACTGGATTGTCTGGTCCAGACTCGATCATTTACAGACCGCCGTCATAGAGCTGGAATATTGCTGAGTGCGGCATTAAACAAAAAACAAACAAAAAACAACATGTTATAAGTTTGACAATAACTGTATTTGTATTGCAATTAAATGTGAAGATGTGCATGCATATTTACTCAGTTGTCATGCTGATATTGATCTGTTAAAGATTTGTGTTTTTTAAAGAATTGAAAACCACCGCTTGTGTTTGTACAGTGTTACATTTTTTCAATTCCCCTTCAGGCTTTCTGCAGCTTGTTGAAGCGAGACATGTCTCTGAACTTCAAGGCAAAGGGGAACCCCCTAGTGTCAGTCGCTGCCTGTAATGTGCTCTATGCTGCCTTCATTGAAGAGGAGAATTGGCCAGATGACTTTGTCAAAGTAGGCTTACATTGTTAAGAACATGCCCCTTGAAGATGCAGGGTAGAATAGGTCTTCAGCAACCCATGCTTGCCATAAAAGGTGACTTTGCTTGTCGTAAGAGGCGACTAAAGAGATCAGGTGGTCAGATCTGCTGTCTTGGTCGATGCATGTCATCGTATCCCAGTTATGTAGGTTGATGCTCATGATGTCAATCACTGGATTGTCTGGTCCAGACTCAATTATTTATATCGCCTACATATAGCTGGAATATTGCTGAGTGCGGTGTTATACAACAAACAAATGTTTTCAGCATGAAGGAGCATTAGGACTTACGTTTCTCATACTTGACTTCTGCTTGGCTGCAGCTCACAGTGAAGATACTGTCAATACAACAGTGTAAACATTGCTGATACTACTTTCAAAAATATGGTAGCTTTGATCTGTTTAATTTAAGTTTTTAATCAGTTTTCTATTTGGCTATCCACAGGGCGTTATCATTTAGGAATGTTCTAGAAGCCAAGATTGTGTTGTCATGGTTACAGGTATACGTGGAGGACTCGCTGGGGGAGCGTGTCTGGGTTGACCGAGATGACTGCAAGGGCTTCGTTGACAACATTCTGACTGCCTTCCGTACCAAGATGCCGCCCAAGAGTATGCTGGTAGCAGCTGACCCTCCTAAGGGGGAATCCCCAGGATCAGGTAAAGCCTTTCAACAGGTTCATCCAATGCTGGTAGTAACAGGCAACCAAACAGATCTTGTGTCAGACTTGGTTATTTGGACACCGTTCCACAAAGCAAGCTTAGACGATCATATCTCCCATACTTAAACATAGACTTATGATAATCGTAGCGCTAAGATCGGTACGTGCAACGCAGCCTTGGTTGATTGCATGTCATCATTCCCCGACAGCTTGGATTGTTGCTCACAATATCAATCACTGGATTATCTGGACCAGACTCGATTATATGCAGGTCGGCATCGTATAGCTGTAATATTGCTGTGTGCTGCGTTAAACAACGTACAAAAGCATGACACAAATGAATGATGTTTGATGCCACAATATCCAGCTATCTTATGTGGCATGTTAGTAATCAAATCTGGACCAGGCAACCAGTGATTGGTAACATCCCCAACTCCATACCATCATGGAGTAATAATACACCATAAATATGACCTATAAACAACTGTTTTACTGATGTTAGGCTTAAAAAATCAAAGAATTAGTTCTCAGGCAAACTGGTATGTAACCAAACAAACAGTTGTGTAACCAAATAAACAGTTGTGTAACCAAATAAACAGTTGTGTAACCAAAATAACATTGTATACAATCAAACTGGGAAAGAGCCTCCCTATATCAATGTATTTCCTTGATGAGTAAAATGCTGGAATACAGTATTTGACTACCGTTGGACTTGGAATTATTAATGAATTTTTTTGGTTTTTTAAAAAAATGGAAACTAAAAACAAAACATGCAGCAGGCTTTATGATGATGCGGGTGGTGCCTGAGAACCAAGACTATTATTTTTTTAGCCTTAGCTGGTCAGGGTACCAGGGTACATAATGGGATGGTGTCTGTGATGAGTCTGTGCTTGATGTGTTGGCAGCAAGTCCAGTGTTGCACCTGTTCGAGGAGGACGAAGGCTCCAAGGGCTCCGATGGTGGGGACAGTGAGAAGAGCTCGGTGTCAGGAACAGACAGTGACAGTGCCAATGTCTTCCAAAGGTCTGTGTTCGAACTGTGTCTATTTTGATAATCTACATCAAATGTTTCTGTTTCTCTGTTTAAAAAATGCATCTTTTTTCTTTAGCATGTTTAGGAATTGCAGAGGTTCCAATGTTTCACAATGTTTCACAACTTAACCGGTCCTGTTGTGAGTTTTCTTTCTAATTTGGGGGTAATATTAAAATATTGGCATCTTAAAAAATCTGTAAATATAAGATGACCTATAGATATGAAACAAGTCGAAATTATGGAATGTTTGTTGTCAATGGTCTGTAGACCAGGTATGTGTGAAACATATTTCAGAGCCCTTCAGTTGAAGTCTAGTAATATAACCTTTAAAGGAATTTTTACCAGGATGTGGCATATTTGCTACAGAACTCATTAGATTTTCCAACCCGTCCAATAGGTCCAATAGGTCTTCAGCAACCCATGCTTGCCGTAAAAGGCGACTATGCTTGTTGTAAAAGGTGACTAACGGGATCGCGTGGTCAGACTTGCTGACTTGGTTGATGCATGTCATCGATCCCAATTGCGTTAATCAATGCTCATGATGTCAATCACTGGATTGTCCAGACACGATTATTTACAGACTACCGTCATATAGCTGGAATATTGCTGAGTGCGGCGTAAAACAACAAACCAACCAACCAACCAACCATTTGCTTTGCCAATGGAAAGATTTGGAATTTGAACATCAACACAAGGGTGCAATCTCCATCTGTCAATGAATGCTTCCACCTCAGGTTTCCATATCAACAAGACAGCATCGAGTCCTACATTATGGAATTGATCCGAGAGCAGCTGATCCGCCGTCAGCCGATGGATGCTTCTGCTCGTAACCTGATCCGTCTGATGACTGTGACATGTGGCTACGGTGAGGTCCGGGCTCTGACAGCCCAGAGGCTGGAGATGTGGCTACAGAACCCCAAGGTAGGCACCACACAGTAAATAACTCCCGAGCTGTGAGGAATTACAAAATATCTGTCCCGAGTATAATAAGAATTAATCATTGTCAACAACTAAAAAACGTCTTGAATGAGCCTTCTCTTTCAAGCTGACACACCATGATATTAGTGACATACTTGTTCAAGGTAGCGTTAAACCCAACTCACTCAAAGCAGCACTGAATCCAACTCACTCACTCATACTAGCTTTAAAGTGACTGTAGCTAACCTGGTATGAACCCAAAGGTAGGTCCCACACAGCTGATATTCTCTTTCAGATTAAATCCTCCTTGGGGCACTTATTGCATTTTCCTGGCTCAAGAAAATCTACATGACATAGTTGTAACCATTTTCCTTAATAAAAATTGTTACCACACAAAAAACTTTGTTTTTGTATGATATACGTCCACCCTTATGGTGCCTCACCCTCCACGGCGCGTCACGCCAAGGGAAGCAACTCTCACCCAAATCACTTTCCTTATGTCATCTGACAAAGACAGACGTGCTGTTTTTTTCAAGACAAAATAAAGACAAGATAATCGTTCGTACAAGAACCATGGCAGACCAAACTGTATGTATGGTACATTTCTTTCATGCAAAGGCGTAATACCTCGCATTGTAAAGTTATAAAGTTGTAATTATGTGACACGTGTACGATACCTTTGAAATGAAGGCCGTCGTAGCGTCCATTTTGTAGTGCCACGTATGATACATGTAACACCAGGGCCATCAAAAAACGGCTTCGGTTTTTTAATCTATATCATCGGGCTTTAGCCTACAATCTTTTCCTTTAAATAAACCCAAGGTGGTGTGTTAATTATTTTAAATTACACTTACCTTTTTTACGGGTTTTCTACACCTTCGCGCGTAACACGCCCACTTTGGTGTTATAATTATACTACGACATTGGCTATTAGTATCGCGTTACCAATCGCATTCTAAATTACGCCTTTGCTTCTAGTTACACAATTTATGCACGTATCTTTCCGATCTTTCAATCGCACTGATACACTTTATTACCCTTCCCGACAAACTCAAAAATTACGGTCTTTTTTACAGACCTTCAAACTGTGTACGGGGTGCTCGGCTTCGATTCCCCCCCAAGACAGGCATGATACTTGCATAAAGTGTTTGGCCGAAGACGGGCATGACGATGGGTCATGCCCGATCTGTGTTGCATTCACACCACGGGCGCAGAAAAAGAGAAATGTGGACCTCTTACACTTTAAGGGTCTATTGAAGGCGGGGGTGGACATTAGATCGGCAAAGATTGCCCCGCCCCCCTCTAAAAAAGTAAGAAAGGGTAAAAAGGCAGCTGAGACTGTCTCCTCCGCTCCCTCCCCGGGGGCCGGGGGAGAAGGCTCTAGGGTCCCCGTCACAATCACTGCACCCTCTCCTGCACCGTCTTTGGCAGACATCTCTGCCTTGTTGAGGTCGCAGATGGCGTCGATGATGGAGGAGGTAAAGTCTCAGCTCCGAGAGGAGTTGCGGACCGAGCCTTCCCCGTTGTCGGCGCCGGACGCGGCTTCGAGACCTTGTGATATGCCCGGCGTCGGCCGAGGCAGGCCACTTGGTCTCGGGGACGAACTCAGACCGGGCTTCGGCGCCGCCTCGAGGTCGCTCCCCAGCGGAGGGGTGGCGGGCACTGGCCCGTTCACTACCGACGCACAGTTCTCCCTAGCGGAGCCAGACGCCTCTTCCGAGGCCGAGGCTTCCTCTAGCGGATTTCTAGCCCAGAGCCAGGTGGGTTCCCTTGAACCCCCGGCACCTCGGGACTGGGACTCGGCTTCGGGCCGGGTGCAGCCCGGGGATGCGAAGGCCCAGGCCTTCGGGCGTCCCCTTCCGACTTCGTCTGCCTCTTCTCTCGGGGAAGAGTCGATTAATTTCGGCTCGGAATCGAGAGAGGAGGAGTGGATGGAGGAGGGGGGAGACGACTCGGAGACCTCGGGAATATTTTCCTTCGTTTCCTCGTTGAGGCATGTACGGGACAAGATTGTCCAGGTACTGCCTCAGGTGGCTGCGCCCATGCCCCAGTCGGATCCGACTGAGTTCCGCCTTCCGGGGGACGCTTTTGCTCCGAGCAAGGCGCCCCAGGTGCGGCTCCGTATTCTGTCTTCATTGGTGCATGAAGTCATCAACCCTCTGTTGTCGGGTGCCCGCAGGAAGTTCGACCTGCCCGAACTTATTAAGCGGTACCCGTTAGCAGAGGATGGTGATTTTGAGCTAGCCACTCAGCCTGCGCGACTACTTGTGCTCCTGGCACCCCTTTGGTCGGCGCAGAGTTGGTTTCCAGTCATACTCAGGTTTCTGGCTCAGCCTCCTGTTCTATTACCTTTACGACCGGACCTCCTATCCCAGAACGAGGCCCTCCACCCGAATCCCAGGATTCAGTCCGGGGGTACTCTACAGCTATCGCTGCCTTTCACGTCCCCGTCGACGGGGCACTTTTGGGTGCGCACCCATTAGTGCAGCATTTTTTAGCAGGTGTGGACAGGATCCGACCGCCTGTCCGGCGGATCAGTCCCCCTTGGGAATTGTCAATCGTTCTTGATAGGCTGTCCGGTCCTTCTTTTCGGGATCTGTCGTCTCTCTCTCTTCAGCTGTTGAGCTGGAAGACGGCGTTCCTTGTGGCGGTAACGTCCGGCAGACGGGTAGGCGACATTCACGCAATGTCAGCCGATCCCGAACTGTCTTTCACCGGGACAGGGTCAGTATTCGCCTGCCGGACTCTTACCGTCCTAAGGTCGCACACGCCTTCCACGTGACGGCTCCTATTGAGCTACCTGCTCTTTCACAGCCTTCCTCGTCGGGGACCACCATGTCTTGGATGTCCGCAGGACCCTTAAGTCCTATATCAGCAGAACTAAGGGTATCCGTAAGGATAATCAACTATTTTGCTGTTATGGCGGTAGGAAGGCTGGCTCACCTGCGAGCAAACAAACTATCTCGCGGTGGATAGTCTCTACTATATGTACGGCGTACACGCTTCAAGGCAGGGACCCCCCTACCAAGTTGAAGGCTCATTCGGTTAGAGCAGTGGCTACGACACAAGCGTATGCTGCGGCTCTGCCCATTGAGGAGATCTGCTCCGCGGCTATTTGGAGCCAGCCGAGCACGTTCATCAAACATTACCAACTCGACAAACACTCAAGCGAGCGTGCTGGGTTTGGTCAGTCAGTTCTCCGAACTGGGCAAAGTTCTACATCTCTAGCCGATTGAGCCTTCGAGATTTTAGACCGCCCAGACCGGTTATAACACTGCTCAGTAACGGTCGGGATTTTATCTTCTACGGTCGATACAATACCAGCCATTACTACTCGATAATCATCGTAATTGCACATGCACTCCTTCGATTTACGGGGACCCTCTGGCCTAGCTCTGTGCGGGTTTATAGTCTCTCGTGATCTGTGCCCCCAATATCACTTGTTCAAAAAAGTGGGTGGGGTGGGGGGTGTGTGTGTCTCGAGTTCTCGATATGATAAGCCACAAAGAATGGCTCTTTTCATTGTGTATGGTCGATAACGCCCTGTCTCCAGCCCCCGCCTTTCGACGGTGGTGCCTCACAATAAGGTTGGTTCCATTTGTTGAACTCTTGTTTATTCATTGAAATAATCAAAATACGATGTATTTATGCACGCTTGTTGCTGACGGATGCCACTTCCTAGATTATCTTTAGGAGTCTATCTTGATGCAATAAGTGCCCCAAGGAGGATTTAATCTGAAAGAGAATTTTACAAACCTGTAGAGGTTATGAATTCTCTGATGAAATCCTCCTTGGGGCACGGCCACCCGCCTCCCCACATTCCGTCAGCATTAGACATATGGAAAGTGATTTGGGTGAGAGTTGCTTCCCTTGGCGTGACGCGCCGTGGAGGGTGAGGCACCATAAGGGTGGACGTATATCATACAAAAACAAAGTTTTTTGTGTGGTAACAATTTTTATTAAGGAAAATGGTTACAACTATGTCATGTAGATTTTCTTGAGCCAGGAAAATGCAATAAGTGCCCCAAGGAGGATTTCATCAGAGAATTCATAACCTCTACAGGTTTGTAAAAATGTCCAATCTGTGAGGAATTACAAATTATCTGTTCTGAGTGTAATAAGAATTAATCATTGTCAACAACTGAAAAACATCTTTGATGCAGTGTTCTCCTTCAAGCTGACACACCATGATTTTAGCGACAGAAACCTATGATTGGGGGTTCGAATCCTGGTTCGCCCCAATTATGTTTCTAGGTTTGTCAGCACCATACCCGTGCTCGTGGGTTTCACAGAAGTGGTAAACGTCTGAGACCTGCATCACTTCGGGCTTTCCTCCCACATTAAGCTGACACGCCGCGATATAACTGGAATACTGTTAAAAGCAGCGTTAAACCCAACTCACTCACTCACTCACTCACATACTTGTTCAAAGTGGCTGTAGCTAACCTGGTATCATGTTGTGCTGCAGCTGGCACGCACAGCCCAGGATCTGCTGATGTCGGTCTGCATGAACTGTAACCAGGCCGACCACAGTGACCTGGATGTCATCGCGCAGCTCATCAAGATGAGGATGAAGACAAAACCACTCATCAATCACTACGCCAACTGTATGAGGTGAGGAAATTTCAAGTCATTTTAGCTTCACTATTCTGTCAATTTTTATGTTGCTATTAGTGGTTTTATGTTATCTTTAATTTGATAACTGACTGTTACATTCCAAACAAGGACACTTTTATTCCTGGAAGTTTTGTCTAAAAAAACAGGCCTGTACCCAGTAATATATGGAATGCCATATGTTTTTTTGTATGCTATTTGGTTGGAACAAGAGACGTTTGTTTAATTGTTTGTTGCTCAAATCCGCACTCAGCAATATTCAATCTTTATGACGGCGGTCTGTAAATAATTGAGTCTGGCCCAGACAATCCAGTGGTTGACATCATGAGCATCTACCGTATATCGCTGTGTATAAGGCGAGTTTTTCGTACCTAAAATGAGGGGGCTAAGAAGGGGGGTCGTCTTATACACGGAGTCGAAGATCTCACATTTTTTTCCACTGGGGATGTCAACCGGCGTCCGATAGCCAGCCAAGCATTTGACAATAAAACTTCGCAATTCGTCCTAAATAACTGTTCCAATAACTATTTCCATACATAAACATGATTTGTATCTCTTTTCCTTGAATAAAGTTTAATAATTTCTGCAAATAAAGTTGAAATGATCCTCGCCTCGATGCAGATTGTCAAACCACCTCACACGGTAAAACAATCAACATCCGTGAGCAGAGAGCCGGAAGTACCGGTAAGCATTTGCATATTGCACATGTGACCTAACATGTGATAACCGGTGAAGCTGAAATCAATTCCCGCTGTTTTTACAGTTGTATTAACAAGTGTTGGAGACGGTGTGTACAAGTGATTGTGGAATAAACACGCTGAATGTGAAGCAAACATAAGCCTAGTTAGTTACAACATAGTTAATTGGCGATTAAATTACTCACCATTGTCTCTTATATGTTATTACTTCATAACTGAATTTTATTTTACGGGCACCAATTTGGTGTCGTACCGTGTAAACACAAAATGGCGACGTGTGCTGGAGTAACACATGCGACCTATCATTGTAGAAAAAAAACAACGCAAGATAAACATATTTTTATTGCATATATAAGGTTTGTGTGCGCACTTGTGATGTGTGCGAAATACGCATCAGTCGGAAAGTGCACGTTAAATCTTCTATATCAGTCAGACTTGTGATGTGTTTCATTCCCGGTCGCCTTATACACGGAGTATAGGATTTTGGGTTGATTTTTAAGGCGTGTACAGGGGGGTCGTCTTATACGTGGGGTCGCCTTATACACAGCTATAAACGGTATCTACGCAATTGGGATACGATGACATGCAGGAACCAAGTCAGCGAGCCTGACCAGCTGACCCTGTTAGTCGCCTCTTACAACAAGCAAAGTCGCCTTTTACAGCACGCATGGGTTGCTAAAGACCTTTTATAACCCGGATCTTCACTGGTTGGCACTAGACGTAGTAATACTACAATGACAGCCCTAGCTTTGGTTGTTCAATCTGTCAACTTCACATTTGTGCCCCAATGATTTATTTAATTATGCTTTGGCCCAGTTGTCTAAGGCGCCGCGATTCACTGTGCAGAGTTGCGTCCCTTGGTTGCACCAGAAACCTATGACTGTTGGTTTCGAATCCTGGTTCGTCCCGTTTATGTTTCTAGGTTTGTCAGCACCATCCCCATGCTCATGGGTTTCACCGAAGTGGTAAACGTCTGAGACCTGCATCACTTTGGGCTTTCCTCCCACATTAAGCCGACACGCCGTGATATAACTGGAAAACTGTTAAAAACGGCGTTAACCCAACTCAAAAAATAAAAATAAATAATAATGTTTTGTACTGATACATCCTCCCTCGATACAGAGAGCTGATGATACAACACTCCGGCAACCTGCGTATCGTCCTGACACACACCATCTACAACGAGTTGTCCCAGACCCGCAATCCAAACAACATGTCCCTCGTGGCTGTCACCTTCCAGATCTCTCCTGAACCTGCAGCCAAGGTGGGTCCATGATTCAAAGCTGTACATATGAACTGTCAGTCAAGGTGAGTCCATGATTCAAAGCTGTACATATGAACTGTCAGCAAAGGTGAGTCCATGATTCAAAGCTGTACATCTGAACTGTCAGCCAAGGTGAGTCCATGATTCATAGCTGTACATATGAACTGTCAGCCAAGGTGGGTCCATGATTCAAAGCTGTACATCTGAACTGTCAGCCAAGGTGAGTCCATGATTCAAAGCTGTACATCTGAACTGTCAGCCAAGGTGGGTCCATGATTCAAAGCTGTACATCTGAACTGTCAGCAAAGGTGAGTCCATGATTCAAAGCTGTACATATGAACTGTCAGCCAAGGTGAGTCAATGATTCAAAGCTGTACATCTGAACTGTCAGCCAAGGTGAGTCCATGATTCAAAGCTGTACATCTGAACTGTCAGCCAAGGTGGGTCCATGATTCAAAGCTGTACATCTGAACTGTCAGCGAAGGTGAGTCCATGATTCAAAGCTGTACATATGAACTGCCAGCCAAGGTGGGTCCATGATTCAAAGCTGTACATATGAACTGTCAGCCAAGGTGGGTCCATGATTCATAGCTGTACATATGAACTGTCAGTCAAGGTGAGTCCATGATTCATAGCTGTACATCTGAACTGTCAGCCAAGGTGGGTCCATTATTCATAGCTGTACATCTGAACTGTCAGCCAAGGTGGGTCCATGATTCATAGCTGTACATATGAACTGTCAGCCAAGGTTGGTCCATAATTCAAAGCTGTACATCTGAACTGTCAGCCAAGGTGGGTCCATGATTCATAGCTGTACATCTGAACTGTCAGCCAAGGTGAGTCCATGATTCATAGCTGTACATATGAACTGTCAGTCAAGGTGAGTCCATGATTCAAAGCTGTACATCTGAACTGTCAGCCAAGGTGGGTCCATGATTCAAAGCTGTACATCTGAACTGTCAGCCAAGGTGGGTCCATGATTCATAGCTGTACATCTGAACTGTCAGTCAAGGTGAGTCCATAATTCATAGCTGTACATCTGAACTGTTAGTCAAGGTTGGTCCATAATTCATAGCTGTACATCTGAACTGTCAGCCAAGGTGGGTCCATGATTCATAGCTGTACATCTGAACTGTCAGTCAAGGTGAGTCCATAATTCATGGCTGTACATCTGAACTGTCAGTCAAGGTTGGTCCATGATTCATAGCTGTACATCTGAACTGTCAGTAAGGTGAGTCCATGATACATGGCTGTACATCTGAACTGTCAGTAAGGTGAGTCCATGATTCATAGCTCAAGATCAGATATCAATGAAACCATGTATCCTATGAGTCTGAAGATGTGGATAGCAGCTGACTCACCTCAGTACCTCAAGGACTTTTGTCAAAGTTTCAGAGCTTGATGTGTGGTATGCTTGTGTCATACCGATCTCTGGTTCTGTGGTGACCTCTTTGATAAAAACCCACCTAAACCCTCCCTTTCGATGCAACACCAGGAAAAGTACATATGCTTTCAGCTCTACTTTCCAACCTGTTGGTCACTGACAGCATTTAAATGCCTTGTACTACTGTATGCTTTACTGTCTCACCTGAGGACAATTGTAATGATATACTTGTTACGATTATTTATATTGAGCTTTATTCTTGAGACATCTTCAGCTGTCAGTATGTTTATATATCCCTAAGATTATGCTGGTTCCAATATAACAGGAAGACACCATCAAATTGGCCAATTGTGTCTGTAAAGTGTTTCATCCCTTGCACCTGTGCACAATAATATTATACTACATCATGGAGTACATGTGTGTGTCTTCTATGTGCAGATGCTGGCAGAAATATTCCAAGATTTGTTGGCTAACAAGGATGATTACTTGCGAGCCCTACGAGCGCTGCTGCGGGAGATCGTTCGCACACTCCGCCATGACATGAACTTCACAGCCTTCTGCCTGGGGCTCATGCAGGAGAGGTCAGAGGCCAAGTTCACTGACCTTGAGGCAGCGTTCAAGGTGCGTACATCACTGGTACAGATTCAGTAGCCCTTGGATTTAAAAGTATTGACACGGTTGAGTAATAACAGATAGTTTACACTGAAATGTGACAGAAAGGTGTTAGCTCCAGTGTGATATCGGAGCTGCAGTGTAATACTGTAATACTGTCAGAGCTGTAGTGTAATACTGTAATACTGTCAGCGCTGTAGTGTAATACTGTCAGAGCTGTATTGTAATACTGTAATACTGTCAGAGCTGTAGTGTAATACTGTCAGAGCTGTAGTGTAATACTGTCAGAGCTGTAGTGTAATACTGTCATACTGTAATACTGTCAGAGCGGTAGTGTAATACTGTCAGAGCGGTAGTGTAATACTGTCAGAGCTGTAGTGTAATACTGTCAGAGCTGTTGTGTAATACTGTAATACTGTCAGAGCTGTAGTGTAATACTGTAATACTGTCAGAGCTGTAGTGTAATACTGTAATACTGTCAGAGCTGTAGTGTAATACTGTCAGAGCTGTAGTGTAATACTGTCATACTGTCAGAGCGGTAGTGTAATACTGTAATACTGTCAGAGCTGTAATGTAATACTGTAATACTGTCAGAGCGGTAGTGTAATACTGTCAAAGCGGTAGTGTAATACTGTCAGAGCGGTAGTGTAATACTGTCAGAGCTGTTGTGTAATACTATCATAGCTGTTGTGTAATACTGTCATACTGTAATACTGTCAGCGCTGTAGTGTAATACTGTCGGAGCTGTATTGTAATACTGTAATACTGTCAGAGCTGTAGTGTAATACTGTAATACTGTCAGAGCTGTAGTGTAATACTGTAATACTGTAAGAGCGGTAGTGTAATAGTGTCAGAGCTGTAGTGTAATACTGTCAGAGGGATAGTGTAATACTGTCAGAGCTGTTGTGTAATACTGTCATACTGTAATACTGTCAGTGCTGTAGTGTAATACTGTCAGAGTTGTATTGTAATACTGTAATACTATCAGAGCTGTAGTGTAATACTGTAATACTGTCAGAGCTGTAGTGTAATACTGTAATACTGTCAGAGCTGTAGTGTAATACTGTCAGAGCTGTAGTGTAATACTGTCAGAGCTGTAGTGTAATACTGTCAGAGCTGTAGTGTAATACTGTCAGAGCTGTAGGGTAATACTGTCAGAGCGGTAGTGTTATACTGTCAGAGCTGTTGTGTAATACTGTCAGAGCGGTAGTGTAATACTGTCAGAGCTTTAGTGTTATACTGTCAGAGCTGTAGTGTAATACTGTCAGAGCGTTAGTGTAATACTGTCAGAGCGGTAGTGTTATACTGTCAGAGCTTTAGTGTAATACTGTAATACTGTCAGAGCTGTAGTGTAATACTGTAATACTGTCAGAGCTGTAGTGTAATACTGTAATACTGTCAGAGAGGTAGTGTAATACTGTCAGAGCTGTAGTGTAATACTGTCAGAGCTGTAGTGTAATACTGTCAGAGCGGTAGTGTAATACTGTCAGAGCTGTAGTGTAATACTGTCAGAGCGGTAGTGTTATACTGTCAGAGCTGTTGTGTAATACTGTCAGAGCGGTAGTGTAATACTGTCAGAGCTTTAGTGTTATACTGTCAGAGCTGTAGTGTAATACTGTCAGAGCGGTAGTGTAATACTGTCAGAGCGGTAGTGTTATACTGTCAGAGCTTTAGTGCAATACTGTAATACTGTCAGAGCTTTAGTGTTATACTGTCAGAGCTGTAGTGTAATACTGTCAGAGCTGTAGTGTAATACTGTCATACTGTAATACTGTCAGCGCTGTAGTGTAATACTGTCAGAGCTGTATTGTAATACTGTAATACTATCAGAGCTGTAGTGTAATACTGTAATACTGTCAGAGCTGTAGTGTAATACTGTAATACTGTCAGAGAGGTAGTGTAATACTGTCAGAACTGTAGTGTAATACTGTCAGAGCTGTTGTGTAATACTGTCATAGCTGTTGTGTAATACTGTCATACTGTAATACTGTCAGCGCTGTAGTGTAATACTGTCGGAGCTGTATTGTAATACTGTAATACTGTCAGAGCTGTAGTGTAATACTGTAATACTGTCAGAGCTGTAGTGTAATACTGTAATACTATCAGAGCTGTAGTGTAATACTGTCATACTGTCAGAGCTGTAGTGTAATACTGTAATACTGTCAGAGAGGTAGTGTAATACTGTCAGAGCTGTAGTGTAATACTGTCAGAGCTGTAGTGTAATACTGTCAGAGCGGTAGTGTAATACTGTCAGAGCTTTAGGGTAATACTGTCAGAGCGGTAGTGTTATACTGTCAGAGCTCTTGTGTAATACTGTCAGAGCGGTAGTGTAATACTGTCAGAGCTTTAGTGTTATACTGTCAGAGCTGTAGTGTAATACTGTCAGAGCGTTAGTGTAATACTGTCAGAGCTTTAGTGTAATACTGTAATACTGTCAGAGCTGTAGTGTAATACTGTAATACTGTCAGAGCTGTAGTGTAATACTGTAATACTGTCAGAGCTGTAGTGTAATACTGTAATACTGTCAGAGCTGTAGTGTAATACTGTCAGAGCTGTAGTGTAATACTGTCATACTGTCAGAGCGGTAGTGTAATACTGTAATACTGTCAGAGCTGTAATGTAATACTGTAATACTGTCAGAGCGGTAGTGTAATACTGTCAAAGCGGTAGTGTAATACTGTCAGAGCGGTAGTGTAATACTGTCAGAGCTGTTGTGTAATACTATCATAGCTGTTGTGTAATACTGTCATACTGTAATACTGTCAGCGCTGTAGTGTAATACTGTCGGAGCTGTATTGTAATACTGTAATACTGTCAGAGCTGTAGTGTAATACTGTAATACTGTCAGAGCTGTAGTGTAATACTGTAATACTGTAAGAGCGGTAGTGTAATAGTGTCAGAGCTGTAGTGTAATACTGTCAGAGGTGTAGTGTAATACTGTCAGAGCTGTTGTGTAATACTGTCATACTGTAATACTGTCAGTGCTGTAGTGTAATACTGTCAGAGTTGTATTGTAATACTGTAATACTATCAGAGCTGTAGTGTAATACTGTAATACTGTCAGAGCTGTAGTGTAATACTGTAATACTGTCAGAGCTGTAGTGTAATACTGTCAGAGCTGTAGTGTAATTCTGTCAGAGCTGTAGTGTAATACTGTCAGAGCTGTAGTGTAATACTGTCAGAGCTGTAGGGTAATACTGTCAGAGCGGTAGTGTTATACTGTCAGAGCTGTTGTGTAATACTGTCAGAGCGGTAGTGTAATACTGTCAGAGCTTTAGTGTTATACTGTCAGAGCTGTAGTGTAATACTGTCAGAGCGTTAGTGTAATACTGTCAGAGCGGTAGTGTTATACTGTCAGAGCTGTTGTGTAATACTGTAATACTGTCAGAGCTGTAGTGTAATACTGTAATACTGTCAGAGCTGTAGTGTAATACTGTAATACTGTCAGAGAGGTAGTGTAATACTGTCAGAGCTGTAGTGTAATACTGTCAGAGCTGTAGTGTAATACTGTCAGAGCGGTAGTGTAATACTGTCAGAGCTGTAGTGTAATACTGTCAGAGCGGTAGTGTAATACTGTCAGAGCTTTAGGGTAATACTGTCAGAGCGGTAGTGTTATACTGTCAGAGCGGTAGTGTAATACTGTCAGAGCGGTAGTGTAATACTGTCAGAGCTTTAGTGTTATACTGTCAGAGCTGTAGTGTAATACTGTCAGAGCGTTAGTGTAATACTGTCAGAGCTGTAGTGTAATACTGTAATACTATCAGAGCTGTAGTGTAATACTGTCATACTGTCAGAGCTGTAGTGTAATACTGTAATACTGTCAGAGAGGTAGTGTAATACTGTCAGAGCTGTAGTGTAATACTGTCAGAGCTGTAGTGTAATACTGTCAGAGCGGTAGTGTAATACTGTCAGAGCTTTAGGGTAATACTGTCAGAGCGGTAGTGTTATACTGTCAGAGCTCTTGTGTAATACTGTCAGAGCGGTAGTGTAATACTGTCAGAGCTTTAGTGTTATACTGTCAGAGCTGTAGTGTAATACTGTCAGAGCGTTAGTGTAATACTGTCAGAGCTTTAGTGTAATACTGTAATACTGTCAGAGCTGTAGTGTAATACTGTAATACTGTCAGAGCTGTAGTGTAATACTGTAATACTGTCAGAGCTGTAGTGTAATACTGTAATACTGTCAGAGCTGTAGTGTAATACTGTCAGAGCTGTAGTGTAATACTGTCATACTGTCAGAGCGGTAGTGTAATACTGTAATACTGTCAGAGCTGTAATGTAATACTGTAATACTGTCAGAGCGGTAGTGTAATACTGTCAAAGCGGTAGTGTAATACTGTCAGAGCGGTAGTGTAATACTGTCAGAGCTGTTGTGTAATACTATCATAGCTGTTGTGTAATACTGTCATACTGTAATACTGTCAGCGCTGTAGTGTAATACTGTCGGAGCTGTATTGTAATACTGTAATACTGTCAGAGCTGTAGTGTAATACTGTAATACTGTCAGAGCTGTAGTGTAATACTGTAATACTGTAAGAGCGGTAGTGTAATAGTGTCAGAGCTGTAGTGTAATACTGTCAGAGGTGTAGTGTAATACTGTCAGAGCTGTTGTGTAATACTGTCATACTGTAATACTGTCAGTGCTGTAGTGTAATACTGTCAGAGTTGTATTGTAATACTGTAATACTATCAGAGCTGTAGTGTAATACTGTAATACTGTCAGAGCTGTAGTGTAATACTGTAATACTGTCAGAGCTGTAGTGTAATACTGTCAGAGCTGTAGTGTAATACTGTCAGAGCTGTAGTGTAATACTGTCAGAGCTGTAGTGTAATACTGTCAGAGCTGTAGGGTAATACTGTCAGAGCGGTAGTGTTATACTGTCAGAGCTGTTGTGTAATACTGTCAGAGCGGTAGTGTAATACTGTCAGAGCTTTAGTGTTATACTGTCAGAGCTGTAGTGTAATACTGTCAGAGCGTTAGTGTAATACTGTCAGAGCGGTAGTGTTATA